GTGTATGTGTGTGTGCTTATATATACATAAGGAATATGTGCATGTGCTTACGTATATAAGGACAGCAGCCAGGGCGAAGTCGCAATGTCTTCAGCGGCAAATTGAAAAGGCAAATGACAGTTGAGGAAAGCAAAGCGATTTCATTAAAGCTTTTGAAATATTAAAGCGCATTCAATGAGTGTTCTGCGGGTGCGTATGTGTGTGTGTGTGTCTTTGGCATATACATATATGAACATGTGCGAAAAGTCGCAACACTATTGCCACACTGCCACGCTCGCAACGTGCCGGGGCACATGTCAGTTGGAGGTGATGTTTATTTGTTTGTTTGTCTGTTTGTCGTCCTTGTTGCGCACTTGTGGGCGCGTGTGGCACATCCTTTGCTATGTTGTCGCTACCTTCCTGTTATTTCGGTCCTTTTGTTGTCGCTCGAGTCATCTTTTATTTCATTTTGTCTCATAAGTGTCAGAGCATGAAACGGACAATATAATTTAAATTCTGTATGCAAATATACCACACCCACACCTACACACACACACACACACATATATATATATATATATATATACAAACGCGCATCCGCGCTCACGCACTGCCGGCAAATGTGCCATTGCAATTCGGAAATTCCAAATATACAATAAAAGTCAAAAAGTTTGAATAAGTAATTTTTCCGCAGCAGCATGGACAGGGCAGAGCTCATGAATGCCTGGGCCTGCAGCCGACTTCGCACTGCTTAAGATCTGAAGTGCTTGAATAATTCATTTAAATCATTATTTATTATAATTTCATATTAAGTATACGCAGCGGTAAATTTATGGCCCTGTCCTTGCAGTGGCTTGCACTGCGAAATTCATTTCCCTCACTGTTCACAAACCACATTTTGATTTTAGAAATTGCAATTTCAATAACTATAATATATATACATACTTAAAGATATATGTATGCGTGTGTGTGTGTGTGTCTTGGGTGATTTGTTGCCACAAACAAATTCTTTTCTTTTCCTAAATTGATATTCAGTATTTAAATATATCTGTATAAGCAACAAAGCAGACGATAGCCCAGGTGTCCTCTAGGCGGGTGTGTCCGACTAGAAGATACCCTGAACCCTGCACAGATGATTGAAACCATTCGTGGCTTCAGGTATGCATAGACTTACATATGCATACGTAAGGTTGCACTCTCAATAGATTCATTTTGAAAGCAAGTAAGCTTACATATCCGACTAGAATATATCCTGAATCTTGATAGAACTGTGACATCAATCATTCTTGGCTTCTGGTATGTATACAAACACAAACACACACACACGCTCTTTAGAAGGCGGCTGCACTTTTTATATTTGTTATTGCATAAATTCGGTTCTATATATAATTTTAATGCAATTTATGACATATAACAGACTTAAAACTTTCTACTATTTCGAATAAGTTCTTATAACCAAATATTGAAAGGGGTTTTGGAATCGGAGTTTCTTTATCTTTCGTTTCTAGCCTTGATCTTTTTTACATAATAGCAAAAAAACTTAGTTAAAAAAGGATATGGCTAAATCAACTCAGTTCGATGCTCTGCCACGCCTCTTTCGGCAGGCTACACTGTATTCTCATTTGAAATGTGTAAATGCAGTATAAAATGATTCATCCAGTAATTTGCTCTTTACATAATTGATATTCCCTTGCCAGCCGTGTGTTGAGTAAAGACATTTTTGCATGGCTCGAAACTCATGCACATTACTCAGTATTCAAATAAATATATATATATTTGTATATATATATCCAATTACACGGCTATAAAATATATAGCAAGTTCGTAATGAATATTCAGAACTAATCGCCTTTGATGAGCGTCCGCCAGTGACTTAATCTGATACGTCAATTCGCCTGGCCATAAGCCATTTAAGAGTGTTACAACACAATATGGAACATGGCATTTATTTAGTGACAGTTGCCATTTACCAGTTGCCAGTCGCCAGTTGCCAGTTGCCAGTTGTTGATTGTTGGCTGTTTGTGTTGGGCATTCGCACAGTTTGTTGTCTGTTTTAAGTTTCATTAATTTGGTTTTACGCCCAGTTGAGCTGCGTTTGGGCTGTGGGCGGGCGCGACGTTTCGGCAGTGTCAATATTTTGGCGCCGGCTGTTGCGTGAAGCGGCTCAATGTAAGTGCACAACAACAGCAACAGCAACAGCGAGAACATACTGTAATGGAAAGCAAACATGGAAGGTCGGGCGAGTGGCGTCGGTTGCAGCGACAGTCAAGGCAAAAGCAAAGGCAACGCTGCCAGCTGCGCTCACAGCGACTAGAACAACAACAATAACAACAAAAACAAAACGCTCAAACAGGCAATCAGGCAAACTACAAAGCAAACCATCTACATAGACGAATCCTCGAACCACTTTGCACCAACTTCAACTAGCAACCACTGGCCCCAAACACAGTCGCCTGCGGACCAACTGGCGCGGCTTTAACCGCGACCGCAGTCCATTTTGAACACTAACTTTTAGGGCATTAACATTCCTACAAACATTATGTAACGCTTAGAGCTATTTAAAGTCATTATAGTGAAGTCAACCATAGAGTGAAAGTGGGTGGATGGGATAGGCTTCAGCTTTGTTTCTTGGGACTTGAAGACAAAGAATCGAATCTTAAGTTCAAATAGGAATTACTACTTTATTTGGAAAGACCTGATGAATAAATTGATGTATGTAGAACTACTGTATTATATGCCTCGTCGGAAGTAGCCAAAAATAACAGGGTAAGCTAAAGTGCAGCAAATTCTTTTCAATCTCGTTGTATTCTTTAGGCAACAAATGTCGGTTGCGGCCGTGGCAATTGGAATGGCCAAAGACAAACAGCGGCGCATAGCCGAAAGTCTTGATTCAAAAATTGTTTGTCTGTTATTAGTTTCTGTGAGTGGCTTGAGATGGTTTTAATTAACGCCGCCAATGAGAGCAACGGCAGAGACAGCTAGCAAGCCAGCCAACCAGTCAGATAGTCAGCAAGCCAGCCAGACGGACCAGACCAGTTAGAGAGCCAGCTGCTGGCATGTCCAAACAGATCCTTTGCGCCAACTCGCATCCTTTTGCAATTAGTGCAACCAGATAGCCCCCAAAAAGTTGCATCTGACAAAGCAGAAACAATACAACGCGCGCATTCTTTAAGAAACTTCTCGCTGCGCATTACAGACAGACAGACAGACCGCCAGCGCCATCTGAATGGCTGACAACACAATCGAGTCTCTGTCTTAAAGAACGCACAACATAGATGTTTAATCTAATCAGTGCAACTGGACCAACTAACTAGTCACAAGAATAAAAGTTCAAATTGCCATTCGGACTGCCATTGCAGACTAGCTCAAGGATGTCCAACTGAGTACCGAAAGGACTTAAAGAAACTAGAGATGTGTGTATGTATGTCAGGGAAATTGCGGGGTATATTGGTCTTATTGAGGCTTATGTAATAGGTAGAGGAATGCATGACCTATCCATAACAATCGAATAATTCCCAATCAGAATTCACATCCGAGTCCAACTAGACCTGTAGACTGTCTGTACGTCCTTCCCTATGTATGTCCGTTCTTCCTTCCCTGCTTCATGACTCATGCTGCCCCTATATAACTCATTTTAAATAATCGATAACCAATAATCGATAACTATTTTCTTTTTAACTGTAATTGCTTCAAATTAAAATCTATCTTTAGTAAATAGAGCACGTCTTAAGAGCTCAAGTGAAATCGAATATATAATTTAAGTAGAGATATGCCTTCTCCTATTACCAAATTTATTTATTATATAAACTCAAAGGTTTCACTAGCAATAAACCAATTTGATCCTTTGAATATTACTTTAAAGTGCATTGCCTTAAATATTTCCATACAATTTCTGCAATTACCTATCCATCTCATTTGATGTACCTGAACAACTTCTTAATAAACATCGAGGAAACTTACAAAAAGAAAACAGAAAAAGTTGTAGAAAAGTTAAAAGTCTGTTTGGCTTTGCATTTAAATGCAAAAAGTTGTTTCACTTTGGCAGATGCGCAAACTGAAAGGTAAAACTTAAGGTTAAAAGACACGACTCTCTGACAAGGCCACAGAGAAATTGGAAATTGACATTTTATGGCATATTTGTGCTTAACTCATATTGCCATCCCACACACAGACACTCACACACACACACACACACACATGTGTATATGTGTGAGTGGCTACTAATGTCTTTGGGGGATGTGAACGCGCCTCGACAAGTGTTTGCATTTAATTCGTTTAAATGCACAACATGTTTGCCTTTAATTCGTAACACGCACTTATAATACCCTGTAATACCCTGTTATGTGTATAAGTAGTCTAAGATAAAGTTTAAACCTTTTTCTATAGGCAAATTGAAATTTATAGGGTATATGTGAGCATGCTCAGCTGAGTAAGTCATGTTATTTTTTGCTTCCCAATAAATAAATAACTAAATGTCTTTCAGCTTATAAACATATATGAATTACATTGTAGTCAGCTTATTTACAGGGTATTTTATAGTCAAGCTTGCAGAACGTACTTGATTTGCTTTCTTATGAATGTGTAAGCAGTCGTATTTGTTCAGCCATAACATGCTTCCAACGCATTTGCTTATTTTGATAAAGCTTGATAAACACTGCTAACGTTTTCTTAATATTATAAAATCTTCTAATGCACTCTTAGGGAAATTTTTGAGTTGTAACCTCAAATATCCTTCTTATTAACATATATCCCATACACACACCGGTTTCAGCATTGGATTAAATTGCCTTGTTCTTTTCGAACTCAACAGTTGGGACAATGAACGCTCGCTAAGTGTCGTAGTTTCATATGCGTTCTATGCGCTCAACAGTTGCACAACACGTTGAGCACAAAATAAATTTCCATTAGATGGCGGTAACACAGCTAGAACTGTCTCAAGATGTCGCTTTCGCTAATTTGCCGCATATATTACAAAAATTCGAAGGTAAATAATAATAATCATAGGAATTTATTTTGTTTTCCAAAGAAGTGTCTAACGGACATAACAAGACATAGAAGAAGCTTACATATTACGTATATAAATGGCTTAGATGCTTATTCCATATGTTTTATAGACCATTTGTGGCCATGACATCTGTTATCCATTGCACATAGACGGCGACATTGGTATAGAGGCCCGGCAGGCTGATCTGTCCGCAGGATGTCACGCCCATGCTCACAATGCCAAACTCCACCATGCGCACCTTGTACTCGTCCAGGTAGGGAGCAGGCGCCTGCAGTGGGCCACCAGAGTCACCTTTGCACGAGTCCTGCAAGTCGCCGCCGCCCACGCAGAGCTGAGTATGGGGCACCTCGCGGCGGTAGGTCTGCGAGCAGACCGAACGGGACTGAATGGGCACCTTGGCCTGCAGCAACACATCCGAAGAAGAACCGTTCTCGGTGGTGCCCCAGCCAGTGACAAAGTAATCCACCAGCGATTCCGCCTGCTGTTTCAGTTCATTGCTGATGGGCAAGCAGATGGGCTTAATGTGCTCTGCAAGAGATGGGTGTGATTAGGCAATGTCAAGGGCTTATGCCCGGCTCGCCTCTTACTGTCAAAGCTAACGCTCTCATTCAGGCGCAGCAGGGCGATGTCATTGATGATGCTCTTGGGATCGTATTTCTCATGTATGATAAACTTCTCAATGCCCAGATCCTTGACAGGCGGTGCGCACTTCTCTTTGCGTCCCTGCTGCCGGCAGTCTCGGTCCGTGGAGATACGATGCTCGCCCAAGCGAATTTCATAACTGCAAGCGGGCAAATTGAGATTTAGATTGAAATTTGTCTTGAGTTGTGGAAATTCTGTACTCACAGCTGATCCTCCAGTCCATAGACGCAATGGGCAGCAGTCAAAATATAGCCTACAAATCAGATCTTTAGGAAGCGCTAGAATGGAATATATGATAGGTGCTTACGGTTGGCGATGATTGTGCCGCCACACAGAAAACGAGATTCGCCCAGGCTGTGGTAACGCAGCAGGGCCATCCAGGGCCTGGAGGACAGCTTCACCTCGTAGCCATGGGCCACGCGCTGATTGAGTATGTTGCCGCAGTTGAAGCCGTTGCTCTTAAACAGCTCCATGACCTTGGAGTTGTGCTGTATCTCCGGCGAAGGACAGCAGAAGTGTCGCTAAGGATTCGATCGGGTTATATATATATATATATAGATCTATATATGTTTATATATACCACTCCATTGATCTCGCCACAGGACGCCTTTTTCAAATAGCTAGCATACTCGGGCGCCACACGCTGCCCGCTCTGCTGGGCCGCCAAGAGACGTTGCTCGATGTCCGAGCAGGAGGAGAACGGCATGCACTGACCCCGCTGCCCGTTCGGTGTGTCACAGTCATCGCCGTAGGCTATGTAAGCGTCAATGTGCACAAGTAATTAATATATGTAAAAGCAAAACGGGTCGTGCGAAGTTTTCTGTCTTACCTGCTCGTGCGGAGCGGGCGCCCATCAAGCAGACGACTGCGACGAGCAAGCAACGGCAGAACATCTTATTAGAATACGATCCAGAATAGATAGACGCGGCCTGACAACCTGTCAACTGAACGCTCTAAATGCTACTGGGCGCAGCGCGCTCCAAGCACACATTTTATACGGCGAGACTGGATCGAAGTGAACTCAGCCAGCTTCCAAACTCAGCTCAACTCGCTCAATCGAGAATCCAGAATGGAGATTAGAGATTGGTGAGTGGAGAATGGAGAATGGAGAGCTTAGAATTGAGCACACGCATCGGTTTTCCCCCTCATGTGCCAACTGCAAATCACTGTTTCACTTGAAGTGTTTGGCTTCCTTATATATATATATATATATATATGAGTTTTTTTATCTAATTAAAAATCCTCTCATTCGCTGCTTATGCAAGACTCAATCAAGCTATGTTTACGCATTCGCACTCCCTAGTAAATATGATTAATCTGGCTGGGTTTGTTCGACTAGCAGTTACCCTGTCATCGGCTTTCAAATATAATCAACTATTTCTACTTCCTTTCAGATCAAATTCAGACCATAAATATAATATAATATAAATATGGACTGAGATATGGCAAACCTTAAGACTTCTTACCAACAGATTAGCAAACTTATTCTATATATAATATTAAAAATATATATATAAACATAGATATTACATTATATTGCTATAAAGTATCTTAAGACTCAGTTGAGTCGAAGCTCTTAAATATTAAACACATTTTCACAAAGAAAACTGAAATGCCCTTGCTTACATAGTTCCAATAAATACAGGGTATTCAAATATATTAAAATAGCTTCAGCATATGCTTGGCCTTTTCTCAACAAACTCTCTAAGCATTCATATGGCAATCGCTCATCGATCTCAAAAGAGAAAGAAAGAGAGACCGGAAGGTTATAAATTATAAGCTTGTTTTGATGGGGCAACGAACAAGTCGAAGTGTGAATGCCCTAGGCACTATACAAATTTACAACTATTCAATAAACCTGAAGCAACACAAGTTGATCTTTAAAGCAGATGCAAAATGTTGACATTATCAATACATATTTATATAAAAATATTTACATTTATTTAGATAAAAAACCAAAAACTACTAGAGCACTTTTTAAATATATGTTACATTAATCAGAACTGGAGTTTCCCTTTTACAATGTAGCCGAGAAATATTTGGCGCCCACAACTTTAAAATTACCCCTGAAATATAAAGCACCGATTATCTCTAGAATGGGAAATTTAGCTAACGAGAATTGATCGGCTTAAATTTAACAATGGGAAATTCAGCTAACAAGAAGAATCAATAAATCATTTCTAAAATAATGGGAAATTCAGCAAACAAAACATTTAGCCAAATTGATCCACTCGAAATAATTATTGAGGGGAAATACATAAAGCTTTTATGAAAAGAATTAAATTAATAAATAGTTCGTAATTTCTTACGATTTCTTACCAATATGTATTGAAACATTTCAAATGTGAGTTTTGTATTTATATATTTTTATTGTTAATCGCACATCAGCTGGTCAATTGTACAATTGCTTGCGGATGATTCAATCATGTTTAAATATAATTATAGTTTGTTTAACTAAAACTGATTTGTTTTTTTTTCTTTGTAACGATAAATTATAACAAGGCTATTTAATAAATATCAGACATGGATAAACGAAAATAATGATATCGATATATATATAAATATATATATATATATGTTGTATATATGTTAAATTATAACTTTTAACTTATGTTGTTAACTTTTAGTTTAAGAGTTAATGCTTTAGATCAACGGCAGCTGTATAACTTTCGTTAAGGGATGGGCAGAATCTCACCGTTCTGCTGTCTAAATTTGCCAATGGTTCTATGCGGTCGGTGTGGGTTGGGTAATTTATAAGATTTCTTCGTTTTCTATAAGTCAACGAAAGGGAAATAGCAATAGATCAATATCAATAAATTCTTGAATTTTTCAGATGCTATAAAGTTGAGAAATAAAGCAGAGATTTTCAGAACGCGCTTCGTGCCGCTTTTAAAATTAAAAATATATTAAAAAGCAAGTAAGAGAGAGAGGAAGAGTTAAAAAGAGAGTTAAAGGCGGTTAAGGTTGAACCGTAAGGAAGCAGAAAGGAAAGTTAAAAACCAGCAAGCCAATTAAACGTAATTTCAGGCGAAAGATGGTCAAGTTAATAACAAAGCAGTTAGTAAATAAATGATGGTGAATTAATTATAATAGCATTCCTGGGAGCATTATCATTATCGATCACATAAAAATTAGCATAATAATTTACACAAATAAAAACATTCTGTTAACTCATTTATAGAAATGTACGATTTTGAATAAATAGAGAATACACTGAAGTCTTTGTCGCGCAGGTCGCTTGGCTAACTACTACAGCTCGAATCTATGACTAACAATTAACATGACTAAGTTTAATAACAATGTGTAGGTTTGCTTGTATCTTTCGATTTGTTTTAGTCACCAATGGAGAGCTGTAGAGCTTTAGAGCCGTGCGCCGGCAGTTCTTGAATTTAGTTAGAATTAATAATTTGCAGATGTGAGCCATTGCAGAAAGTTTGCTTGATTAGTGTTTGGTGCTGTTGGTTGTCGCTTGGGAGTAGTAGTATTGGTAGTAGTGGGTTAGAATGCAATACAGAAGTGCCATCAAACGATGAGCCAATAGAACAGTACGATTGTCTTATTTAATAGCGGCAATTAGCGGACTCTCTGCGCCTAAAAGAAGAATAGAAAGAAAAGAGCAATGTTAATCACTTTTTTTTCCATAGAGTTTTGTGGGCACTAATTCACGAGTCTTGATGTATGGCATGCGGGGCCAGGTCCAAGTAACAGGCATCGAGCACTCATAGTTGAAGTTATACAGCTGATCCTCCAGCCACTTGCGTTTGTCCTGCGGCTCTGGGTATGTGGATGCCAATCCTAATCAATTTATAACCAAATTTAGCTAAGCCATGGAAACATGCTACGCCAACATACCCTTGTCATATGCACACTTGGTCACACCAATGGCAATATTCATGGACACATCACGAATGCTCTGCAGCGGTGGGTACAATGAGCCACGTTCAATGTCACTGGGCTCCACAAAGTTAGCCAGCTCCTGGGCGGCAATGAGGAACATATCATCAGGTATGTGATGAGTGCCTGTGCAGATGACGCCCAGACCCACGCCAGGGAAAATGTAAGCATTATTACCTTGACCGGGGTAATAAGTCTTGTTGCCCACTGTAACCGGTGGGAAAGGCGAGCCCGATGAGAAGATGACGCGAGCCTAACAAAACAATAGCGAAAGAGACATAAAACTCCGAGTAAACTCTAGAAATGGCGGAACAACTCACATCCGTATTGTGATAGGCCTCCTCAGCTGTGCATTCCGCCTTACTGGTCGGATTCGACAGCGCAAATATGATGGGTCTCTCGTTATTCTCCCCCATTGTCTTCAGAATCTTGGGCGTGAAGAGGCCGGCACAAGCTGAAGCACCAATTAGCACCTGCGCAATATGAAATATTAATGAGAGATAGTATTTAATATGCAGTACACATATAGGACTTACACTTGGCTTAATGGTCGACACAATCTGCTCGAGATCTGCCATGGGTTCAATGTCCTTCGCATAGTTGATTTTGTGACCGTCCAAGGAGCCCACCTTGCGCGTTTTAGTCAACAGACCATCAATGTCCACCATGAATATTCTACTATAGGCCTCATCGATGGGTACACCTTCGGCAACCATGCCCTTCACGACAAGATCGGCAATGCCAATGGCAGCCTCGCCGGCGCCAGCGAATAGGAAAGTGTAGTCCTTCAAGGACTTGCCCGTGATACGCTTGGACGCGTACAATCCAGCCACAGCTACAGCAGCTGTTCCCTGTATGTCATCATTGAAGGTGCAGTAATTGTTGCGATACTTGTCTAAGAATCTAAATGCATTGTGATTGCCGAAGTCCTCGAACTGAATCAGAGTATTCTGGCCATATCGCTTGACCACTGCCTCCATGAACTCATCAATAAAATCATCGTACTCTCGTCCTACGACTCGTTTCTGTCGCAGACCCACGTACAAGGGATCCTCCAAAAGATCGATATTGTTGGTGCCCACGTCCACAACAATGGGCAGGCACTGATGCGGCTTAATGCCCGCCAGTGCCGTATACAGAGCCAGTTTGCCAACGGGAATGCCCATGCCGCACGCGCCCAGATCTCCCAGGCCCAGAATTCGTTCGCCGTCAGTTACGCAAATGGCACGCACATTCGGCTCTGGCCAGTTCTTCATCACATCGAAGATGTGACCACGATCATTAAATGTAACGAACAGGCCATGCGGACGTCTGTAGATCAGGCCAAAACGCTGGCAGGCCAGGCCCACTGTAGGCGTATAGACAATCGGCATCAGATCCTCAATGTTCTCCGACAAAAAGCGGAAGAACAGACGTTCATTGCGATCGTGCAGATCGCTTAAATACAGATACTTATTCAGTGGCTCCGTATAACGATTCACAGCTATCTTGCACAGCTGCAGCTGCTCCTCCTGGGTCTTGAAACGTGCTGGCTGCAGTCCATGAATACCCAGCACCTGACGCTCCTCCAGTGTAAAGGCCAAGCCCTATTGATGGGGTGCAAGAGAGATGTATTACAGTGGGTGGTTTCATTGCACCGGCACTTACCTTATTCAAACGAGGATCGCGTATGTGATCGATGCCGCGCACCTGCGAGGGGCAAATAATATCGCCGACAACCTCATGATAGCCACGGCCATCGCACCGCGCCTGACCAGGCAATACTGGCAATGCTGTTGTTGTTGGTGGTGCACTTATCACTGCGACAGCACCGCTGCGACACAGCTTACCGAGATTTCCGCACAAGCTGCAACAAAAACAATGTTTATTATTGCCATGTAACGACACTGAAAGTCCAAGTTCAAGGCTAACGTCAGCTGTTTCAGATACTCCTTAAATTATGTAAGAGGAAGGCTATATCAATCTATTATCATTTGTCGGCCACCAAAAGAAAATTGAATAAATTTGATAATTTGATAACCAACAATAGATTCTCATTAAAAATGCAAAGTTTTCAAATATATGTTTTGTCTTTTAACTTTAAAACAAAAACCCATTTCATTAGATACTATCAAAATTCAGTGCAATCACCGAAGATAAGGAATCGTATGTTATAATAATCTTAAAGGAATTTGATAAGAAATGCAAAAGTCTTTTTGTAGTATACCTACAGAGTATCTTAAAGTCAAGCACACTTCAACGATGTCCAATCAGAGTGGTGCAAAAACTAAGCCGCATTGTTTACGATCTCACGATAAGATTCCGAGTGATGGCATATGACGAGGGTAGCAAACATGTTGAGCGTTTGCTTTCTGGGAGATTTAGCATAATTGGCGCTAATTGCACGCCCCTTGTGACTAAGTTCATTGATGGGCATGTCCATCATTAGGATGATGGCCGCCACAGAAGCTAAAAGCAAACCCGTTAATGACGCGCCTACAGTTCCACGCGCTCGTGACGTGTTGGCCCTGCTAATTAACGGACGGGTGTAAGGGGCTGGTATGGAAGTGGGCATGGTATCATTATCATCATTCGTCATTTTGTTTCTATTTGCTCAGCCTAACGCCCAGAAGCTCACATGAGCGCCAAGTGCTTTATAAATTCGCATTATATATATATATATACATATATATGTGTGTATATCTAACATATGGTATATCTAATCACTCATACAAATGTAATTGCATGTCGTAAACATTTCCGTATTTGAAACTAGGTTCATACGGCACACAAATTATCTCGAAATCGTTTGATGTCATGATATGATTAAGCGTGTGCCATTTCACTTATTTGACCATGATATCAAATTGGAAGTATTTATTATTGTTTTATATATTTTTCGTATATTTTAATATATTTTTTACACATTCGTTTTTACTCGTATCTATTTTCTTTTTAAAAATAACTTTTTTGAAGGTTGTCAAACATTAGGAATAATTTCACCTTAAGTCAAACTAATTCATTTGCATCGCATAAATATATCAAAAAATTGTTTAATTTTAATACAAATTATATATAATTAATAATATTAAATAATAATCATAATGCAATCCATACATTTTAATACTTTTTAAGCCATTATATGTTATTCAATTCCATAGTGCAATTGCATGATATGCAAGAGTCTCGTATAAACGTAGTATATATTTACGCGCAACACTGGCATATCCCGATATGATATAACTAAAAAGTTTGTGTAAGCAGCTCGTTTTAAGCATGTGTGTGTGTTTTTATGCATGAAATGCCAAATTTACTGCTGAATAAGCCAATCATACATACACACACACACACGCATACACAGCGAAGTATGTAATTTCATTCGAAAGTCAAAAAGTTCTGCGTAAAGGCAATAGGCACATAGAAGTCAATGTACTCAAATATGTTTAGCCATAAAAACTATGCGCAAAAGAGAAGCAAGGCGAAAGAGTAGACAGAGACAGCCCATGAGAAGCTGCGTAACAAAGACTAACAACTTTTGAACTTGGCAGCGAAAAAAGAGGCAAACAAAAAAACAAAATAACGCTATTTTTCTTTTTTTTTTGTATTGCTGTACACAGATACGCGTCTTGCTAAAAATGTTTATAAATTTAGAATTTGGCAGTAGAAGCATTTAGCTGTAGAATATGAATGTATGTAATTATGTATAACAGTGTCCATGTCCATGAACGTGAAGGTGGCCGATATAGACGCAAGCAAAAATGCGATGGTGTTGAAGCAAAACACACACATACAAATGCATATGTTGATTGTTTGTATATTGATTTTCAGCTGTTTTGTTTAATGTGTGCGCGTGTGTGTATGTGTGCATGTGCGGCTATGTGGAATTGCCGCTATTATATTTTATTTTCATTTATAATATATTTTTTACTTTTTTTTGCAATTAGAGGTGTTGCTCTTACGCAACAAGGAGAATAGTAGAGAACGATTGCAACCAGGCAGCTGTTGCAGAAAGCTAGCGAAAACCAGAAAAGTTAGGTCAATGTCAAAAACATGTGCGAATCCTAGTCCGCCCTCACCAATACCAATAGGGTTGTGCCTACGATAGTTTGTATGTGTGTGTATGTGTGTATGTATTGGTAGCACCATTGAAACTGAAAGCTGCGCAATGCACACAGATTTCTGTATTGAGCGTGCTGGGGAAGGGGGCCTTGGCGCACACTCGTCTGCCACGACAATGACTAGGTCACTGAGAAGAACAGCTGGGACGCGGAGCGAATGGCGGACAATTGAAATTGCATAACAGTTCGTCAATTTGCAAATGTACCAAAAATAGATGCAAGCATTGCCAATTCCTTTGGCAACTTGACGCCAAGTGCCCACCTGGCCTGATACATATGAACAGTTTACGTTTACGTAGCTTACCTGGGCCGTGAGAACATTTTGCGTTGGTGTTTCTTGAATTGCTTTTTTTTGTTAACTATTTGTGTTTTAAATACAGCTTGCTTTTCTGTTTTGACACTTATCACTAGGTAATAATACTTTTCGTTACGCTCAGCTTTCTATATTACATATGAAACACACGACAATTACGAGCCAGCCACCCTTATGAGGCCCAACAAACAAAACTGAGTATTCAACGCGGCGCGGGCAAAAACTACCTCGCGAAGCTGTCGGCGAATAATGAACGAATGCTCAAAACGACAAAACGAACAAATGTAGCGCAGTAGAAACTTGCGCGGCAGTGATTGAAAAAGAGTGTTGGTAAATGCATTTTGCACAGTATTGCCATATTAAAATGTTTGCTTATCGATTACTATCGATTATTATTTATATAATTGAACCAAACTGAAACACCAAAACTTTCATCTGGTTGCTATTTTATTTTTAATTTCTAAATTGCTTAAGCAAGATTACAACATTTAGGATTATGTTTAGAATCTTAGGCATATGATGAACGCCGTTTGACACATAACTTTGCATGGAGACAGTACTGTCGCCCAAATCTGGAGTGCTTTTTAAAGCAATCGATTCAAATGTATAGAGAGCGCGAAAGCCATTGGCTACAAATCGATCATTTGAATAAAAGGATACACGAAAGAAGCGTCCATCGGAACGCACTTCAAAGTCGGGTAATTTGCCACAATATTTGCTGAACTTTCGATCTGTGCTCATAAAATTCGAAAACTCCACATAATCGCTAGCCGTTTGATGGTCGCATCTAAAAAAACAAGAAAAGTTAATAAATATTTTAGAATTACTGAAAATGTCAACACACGTGCTAATGCCTTCAACATCAAAGTATGTGAAACGCAGGACAATCCGTTCATCAGCTCCATAAAAATAGTAATTGCATACAACATTCTCCAGATAGTAGCCAGGGAAGTTTGGCGAATGAAATAAACCACTAATCCTATCGCTGCTGTTGTAAACAAATGTACATTCGTCTCCCTGCTGCGCGCCTGATAGAATGCCATAATCTAAATAGAAAAGTTTTAAATATTTTGTATGTATGTTTCATTTGTATATTACTTGTAAGAAACCGATATTCTGCTCGAAATCCATAATACTGCACTTTGTTCGTCATTTTCGGCGGATATTTTCCTACAAATTGCAGCTGCAACTGCTGACTATTAGACATCAGCGGCTTGGGCAAGAAAGCGCCACATAGTAGCTCTTGCGTCTCATATTTACCACGCACTTCTGCCAGCACGTGCAATGCGTCCTCATCCCGACAGCGGCTCGAATTTTCGCGTTCAGTGGGTATGTTGAAGTCGTGAAACTTGATTTGAATCACTTCTGGTTTGTGCGCTTTAAATTCGTAACGGCATTGCACGACTTTAGCAGAGTCGATATTCGTACTTATCGGTGCACCGATAAACGAGCCTAACAGCTGATTCGATTCGAAGATGCCGGACTTGTTGACGCGCGAATCGTAAAGCTGCTTGCAGTGCTCTGGAAGCAAAATACAAAATAATAATTTAAATTTAAAAATATATGCTTAAATTATTAATCAGTTGTCGTGTATCACACATTAATCGCATTTGGAGCAGAGCCATGGGCAGCAAGCAGGCACAGAATGAAGACAACAAGCTGGACACGTTCCGACGCATTTGTGATGAAATAGCTGCTGAGTCCAGCTACCTGCGGAAGGTTGAGAAATTGGAGATGTTCTTCAAGAAAGGCAGCAGCGGTGCCGGCTTTAAAGGCGACATGTTACAGTGGGTTCAGTTTCTCATACCAGGCTCCACACAGCGGGTCTATAATTTGCAAAACAAAGCATTAATCAAGCTGTTTGCTCGCATCTTCAATGTCGACCAACAGGAAATGCATCTGGACTTGGAACAGGGTAAGCAGCTTTGGTCCTCGTGTTGGAACATTTCTAAGACGACTACTCCTTTTGCAGATGGTGATATTTCAGAAACTCTGCGTAAACACTTTGCTAGCTCCAGCAAACTTAAACCGCAAGCGCAAAGCGAACTCTACTTACATGATGTGGAAAGTTTGCTTTGTCAGCTGGAGCAGCGCACAAAGGAGGATGAGCAAACTGAAGTTCTGCATAAGCTGTGTAAGCAGGCAACCGATTTAGATTTGCGTACGTTCATCAGGCTGATCAAACAGGATCTGCGCATTAATGCACGTGCCAGGCACATTCTGGATGCATTTGGACCACAAGCCTATCCAGCGTATCAGAGTTCTCGTGATCTCACAGCTATTGTACAAAATTTTGCTGGCAACAGACCCACGTCTCTCAAAACTCCAACAAAGACGGCCACTCAGAAGGCAAAGAAGAAAACTAGCGCTATTCAGGTAATGACGCCTATTTCACCGATGCTGGCCAATGCCTGCAAGTCTGTAGAGGAAGCATTCAAAAAGAATCCCGGCGGACTGTATAGCGAGGTTAAATATGATGGAGAAAGAGTACAAATTCACAAACAGGGCGCGGAATTTAAGTTTTTCAGTCGAAATTTAAAACCAGTAATGGATCACAAAATCAAGGAGCTAAAAGAGTATATACCACGCGCCTTTCCTGGCGCCGATGACATGATACTTGATTCAGAAATCATTTTGGTGGACACAGAAACGGGCGCTTTGCTTCCCTTTGGAACGCTGGGTGCGCACAAGAAACATACCTATGTCAATGCTTCGGTTTGCCTCTTTGTTTTTGACTGCTTGCTCTATGATGGCGATGATCTGACTGAGCTGTAAGTATAAAGCTAACGGTACGTTACTATAAAGCTAATGTTGACTTTATGCCTTAGCGCATTTTGCAAACGTCGCGAGATTCTGGAGCAAAACATTCAACCCATCAAATCCCATGTGCAACTCTCCGAATCAGAGTTCTTGAAGACCAAAAACGAGTTGGCATTGATGACCGCTAAGGTGCTTCAAGCTAATCTGGAGGGCGTTGTGCTCAAGAGTCCCGGTGGCACATATCAGCCGGGCAAACGTAACTGGCTCAAAGTAAAAAAGGATTATCTTTTTGGTGGCAAAATGGCAGACACTGCCGATTTGGTGGTATTGGGCGCATGGTATGGCTCTGGCAAGAAAGGCGGCGTGCTCAGCATCTTTCTGATGGGCTGTTATGATGCACGTGACCACCTCTGGAAGACGGTCACCAAAGTGCACTCTGGTCTTGATGATGCCACCAACGACGAGATCCATGAAGCATTGATGAAACTCACAGAGCGCGCTGATGCAAACAAAATTCCCAATTGGTTACTCTGCAAAAAAGCACTAATACCTGATGTGCTAGCCAAGACTCCGGAGAAAATGCCAGTGTGGGAAATCACGGGTGCTGAGTTCACACAATCGGAGGCTCACACTGCAGCAGGCATTTCTATCCGCTTTCCGCGCATTACGCGCCTGCGCAGTGACAAATCTGCAATGGAGGCAAATGATCTGGCGCATCTAGAGCAGCTCTATGCTGCCTCTAAAAAAAATGTTAATGTAGACTTGCTGCTGGCCAATTGTGATGAGGACAAGGATGATTTGGCGAACCGACTGAAGCTGGAGAAGACCCCCCAAAAGGGCAAGGCCGCCAAAGGAGCGGCAGCGAGCAGTAGCAAAAAATCCAAGAGATCTAATAGCGGCTCTGATGATGAGCAGCCAACTCCGTCAAAAGGTCGTAGCTCACGAAAAATAACAAAGCTGGAGGCGCCCACAGCTACATCTAAAGGTAGTCTAAAGGATTTCTTCAAGCCCAAAACAACAACAGTAGCTGTTAAAATAGAAAGCAAATCACCCGAAGATGTCAAAATGAAAGTCGAGGGCGAGGATAGTAATTTATTTAGTGGCCAGGTTGCGTACTTTGTGGCGGATGCAGCCCAATCCAAGCAAAAAGATGAATTTGTGCGTCATGGTGGCATCTTGGCCGAAAATTCTAATAAGGCGCCTTTAGTTTTCCATAGCAATACGAAAAATGTTGACTTGGCGGAATTGAGGTACAAATATCTATCATTATTTAACTATTATACACCAGAAAACTAAAGTATTTCTCATTTTGCAGACCCCTCTACCGTCGCAGCTGCCGTCATCTCAGCGTGCAATGGCTTGAGGCATCGCTACAAGCCAAGAAGCTTCAGCCTTATCCGCTCTATGCGTTGCTTTTGAAGTCATAGCCTAGTGTTGTTATTGAATTATTTTATTATTCGCTTAAAATTGTAAATTTGTTATATTTAAAGTATAAGACGCCATATTTATTATATTCGACTTTGGTCCTTAACGAACGATGCCTTTAGCTATATTTCCATACATCACCAAAACTAATATTCAATTTGAACTATTTGACTGTTAATTTAGTCTACGACAGCGTAAAGGCATATGCATGTACGCTAAAGGTGTATTTGTTAGCAAATATTTTATAGTGTAACTTTCCAGACGCTTAGGCAATGCGTGCTTTGGTAAAAAAAGGAAAGTCAAATAGAAGCAATTGCTTTGTATAAATTACATAAACTGTTTCATAAAACTTAGTGTGATATTAATTATCACAAGTTATTAATAATTATCGCTCGTGTCTCACTACAATGCAAAAAAAACTATAGAAGCTAAGGTCTATTCAATCACTGAAAAACCCCTTGAGCTACTTAATGGGACGCATCGACAACGTTTTGTACTTAGCCAAATTATCAATAGATCTCCACTGGAGGAGAATACCTATGGGGGTTCAACGTTTTGCTAACTTTAAATGCGGTACCTCCGTATAAGTATAATGCCAGACACATTGTCAACGACTACATTAAACGATCTACGCCGTTGATGCGGTTGTTTTTATTTATATTTCCTTTTTACTTCAAAGTGTGACTCTTCGGCTGTTCGGCTTATTATAAATAATTTGTGGTGACTTCGCTTATATCATATGCCACTTCCAAACCGACTGCTTGACTAAAGCCTTTCCACTGTGCAAGTGCGTCTGGTATAAATAACGTCGGCGCGTTCTGGGCTCGTCTCATTCATTCATTCTCATTCGCAGCCGCGACTACAATTTCTTCTATACATACTATAATTGACTAATCCGCGCTTGTGTTGTGGTATAAAGAGATGGATGCTGAACACGAAATGACATCCGAAATACAAAACTTTTACAAAGATAAAACTGTTTTCATAACTGGCGGCAGTGGATTTTTGGGCAAAGGTATACGAAATTTCCACTGGTGCCATAAAATTTGTGACAGAGTGATATTCAAATTTTTTATTGTGAATGGAAATGGAGAGTTTTAAACCGTTTCTTATAGTGAAACATTTAATTCATATCTAAATATTGAGAAAAATATTTAATGTTTCATTAAATTATTTGTGACAAATATGTGATATTCAAATTTAAATGTTAATAAAAAAAGTGTTAAACTGTTCATAAAAAATAAATTATGAACATTCTATAAGTTAAGCAATTAGTGTTAAAAATTATTAACAAAAAATCATTAACCTAAGTTAAGTTCGCCTCATTGTGCCATAAAGTAAATGAGTGCTTAACCGTTAAGAACCATTATAATCGATAATAATAGACTGTAAAACGGTTTTCATTAAAAAGTACCTAAACTTTGCACTCAATAAAAATTATTCTTAATGACTTAAAAAAAAAAGAATAAACTAAAGAGTACTTAACTAGTTTTGCAAAACTATAAAAAAAAAATTCTAAAAATAACTGAATTGAAGCTGCTCTCTACTTAATCTAATGCATCCTAACAAAAGTTATCGTTGTAGAAACCCGTTTTCCATAAGTAAATTGACAAAACTAACCGTGTATGAACAAATTGTTCATCTAAATATGCTATTGTTTATTTCTATAAAGTGCTTCGTCATATAATTTTCGTTTTGAGTTGTCTGACTTAAGCCGATTGAAATAATTAAGTAAAAAGTGTATATTACTTTTGTTGAAGAACTTGATACAGTCAGAGAGAAGAATAAATTACATATTTTTATGATCAGGTGAATCGATAAATTCATTGCCTCATTACAGCAATATTAATCGAAATCGATATTATTATGTTTTTTTTTAAATGACAAAGGTACAAAGGACTCACCTAACTACCATGAAAGTGTTCAATCCCATAATCGATATATAAATATATCGATTTTCGCTATATTACCATCTAAGTTTGAATACAATACTTAGGTTCGATAGATTCTATGTAAACCTAGTCTCCTATTATTATATATTATAGGTAAACCCCAAGCACAAGATATCTAAAGTATATATATATTCTCTTTATCGCTCTATAATGATTTCCTCGAGAATTTGGTTTAGGTATTAACACATCTATTTGCTCTTTAGATTTAGAACTCAAATTAATTTTCAAACAACCTTTAAGCTAAGATGAAATTGTTCTTGATCCTTAATTTGGAACTTCGTGGTTTCTGTTTCAGTGATAATTGAGAAGCTGCTACGTGCGACAGACGTGAAACGCATCTATGTAATAATCAGAGCCAAGCGGGGGCAGGATATGCTACAGCGGCTGGCAAGTTGGAAGGACGATGGCGTAAGTAAGCCATTAAGCCAACTAGAAACGAGATTCTAATTGGAAATTTTTTAATTAGGTATTTGGTTTGTTGCTCAAATCGAAGCCCGGCTGCTGGGTACGCATAGTGCCCATTGCCGGAGACTGTCAGCAGTTGGATTTGGGTCTCAGCAAGGCGGATCGACAGCTGCTGATGGACGAGGTGCAGGTAGTGGTGCATAGCGCGGCAACTGTGCGCTTTGTGGAACCACTGCATGTGGCGCTGGACATCAACACCCGTGCCACACGCCTCATGATGCAGCTGGCCAAGCAGATGAAGCGTCTGGAGGCGTATGTTCACGTGTCTACGGCCTACTCGAACTGTGTCATTCAGCGCATAAGTGAATGCTACTATCCGGAGAATTTGAGCTGCAGCGCGGACACGGCTCTGACGCTGAGAGAGCAGCTCAGCGACGAGCTGATGGACAGCATGGCGCCAGCTCTGCTGGGCAAGTTCCCCAATACATACACCTACACAAAGGCCTTGGCGGAGCAGCTGGTCCAGACGGAAGCCGGTGCTCTGCCCGTATGCATCTTTCGGCCAGGCATTAGTAAGTGGCATCAAATGATCATGGCTCAAACCACATCTAATCACATTCTCAGTTATTGGCAGCTACAAGGAGCCCGTCTCTGGCTGGATTGACAATCTCTATGGTCCCATTTCCATATTCCTTGGCACTGCAGTGGGAATTCTGAGAGTTATTCGCATTGACATCCACTCACAAGCCAACATAGTGCCCGTTGACTACTGCTCCAACTTGACCTTAGCCTGCGCCTGGCAAACAGCCAACGATAAGAATAAACCAATTGGAGCAGCTGCGCCGCCCATCTACAACTATGTGCCCAGTGATCACAACATGCTCACCTGGGGTGGTTTCAAAAAGAAGGCGGAAAGCCTGGGCCACGTCTACCCGTTGACCAAAATGATATGGCTGCCCATTCTGCACACCATTAGCACGCCCTGGCTCTTCAATCTGGTCGCCTTCTTCTATCACATTCTGCCTGGCTACTGCATCGATGTGGTGCTGCGCCTGAGAGGCCGTACCCCACGCATGCTTAAGCTCTACCAGAAGATACACAAGAATCTGGAGATCATTGCCCCGTTTACCCACTCCAATTGGCATTATGAGACGCACAACACGCAGCGACTGTGGCAACGACTGTCCGCCCAGGACCAACAGCTCTTTGAGTTCGACATGAGTAGCCTGGACTGGGATGATTATTTGTACAATACCTTGGGCGGCATGCGCATCTTTTTGGGCAAGGAGGATCCTGGCGCTGAGTCACTGGAGCGCGGCAAAAAGAAATTGAAACGGTATGCAAAGCGTTCTGCAATATGATATGAAGCTGATTCAAATTGATTCGAAAATCCCATTTTGAAGCCTTTTTCCATTTTGCTTGTCTTTCACACAGCTTTTACATACTCCATCGGCTGCTGCAGTTCGTCCTGTGCAGTGGAGCTGCTGCCATTTTGTGGTCGTTGCTTAAGTTTCTAAATAACTTCTAGATTCTAGTGTTTGTATAACTATAGAACTAGCTCAATAAATAGCTGCACTCACTTCCTCTAGCACCTCCTCCAGCGCAGGTTAGGCTGGGCGACGTCTGCCAAATGGCGGCAATCAAATGCAAAGCTGTCAACAGCGCCGAGCGCACCATTTGAACGTATCGAACGCTTGAAACAGACTGAATATTGAAATGGTTCAGAGCTGTGAGCAAGTCAATTGGCCACATCCGCTGTCACAGACACAGACTGTCAGACGGAAGCTGGCAACATTTTGCGGCAATTGCGAAGCTGCGCGAAGAAGTTTGCCGCCATTTACTGGCGATTAGCATAATTCGATTGAGTCCTTAGGGCATGACTCAGAATCGAACTAACTACTATCTTTAGCTAATTTATGGGGCGCCAACTTACGATTTCTATGTCCGGGCCGCGCATCCTTCCCCTCCTCCTGCTCCACTTGAACACTGTTCGCCTGGGCGGGCGGCTGCTTTATCGCTATGCTGGCTGCCTCCAGGATTGGCGGCAGTGCCAGCGCCTGCTGCTCATTTTGCACAAATTTGTATTTGCCACGGAAGCCTTTGGCCGTGCGATTCGAGCTGGCATTAAACTCCAGCAGCAGATCGGGTCCGCTGCTCAGTATACGGCGTGTGGGGCACGGAGCACAGAGCACATCGATGACAGCGTTCATGTGGGCGGACTCCGCATCGAATATGGTCAGTGCGTCTAGTTGACAGCCGCCAGTAGCCACTGACGGCAGCTGCAGCTCCTCGAACAGCAGCTCCACACGGCTATCCGGACGCCCGATGAACTTGTACGCGCACTTAATGTGCGCCGGATAGTTGGCCGGAAAGCGCGGCGAGTGGAAGTAGCCCTCGCCCAGATTCCCCTCGATCCCGGTGCTGGCAAAGAAATAAAAGTCGCAGAAACTATGCGGCACCAGGCGCCCGCTCGTCTTGAAGAGCTCTGGATGCAGCCGTGCAACGAACGAGGTGAAAATTTGACAAAAATGTACAAATCGATTTCAGGAGTGCTCACCTTGCTTTAGGAATCGATAGTTCGCCGTTAGATTCAAGGTCCAGTCGAGCAGCTTTGTGGGCGGCTGCTGAAAGCTAAGTCTCAGTCCCAGCAGCCTGCCGCCACTGTAGATGGGCGTGGCATTGCGAGCCGTCGCACTGTGCTGGCACCAAGTGTACGCCGCCAGCGTTGAGTTCTCGATGACGGGCTCCCTCAGATACGGAAAGACCTCGACGGTGTCCAAGCAGCTGTCACAAAAATTGCATATCATGAATTGCCGCACAGCGCTAATCATATTGCAAAATGTGGCACAAATGGCCGGAATCAAATGATGTTGAAAATTTATTGGCCGCCTGGCCGCTTGGCCGGTTCGTTGGTCAAGCCTAAAAATAGGCAAGCGCCCAGCGAGCTGCCATTAAATAAAATGTTGCACTGCCATTCGGTTCTACATCATTTATTTTGATAAAAAGTCTAACAAAAGTTGGCGTTAAGGTTAACACAGAAACCGTACGACAGCTGGTAGAAAAACATGTTTGAGTTCTTAACAGACTACGAGGAGCAGAAGGAGTCAAAGGTGAACAATGCTGCAGTTAGAATTGCCATTGGGACTGGATTTAACTGAAATCTAATGTAAGATAAAATAAAAACTAATATTTTCTATAAAGTTAAATGGATTTCCGGCTAGCTGAGCATTTTAGAGGCAATATTAAGAATCTACAGAACATATATAAATATATAAATATGAACTACCAAATTGAAGGAAAAAGTTGAAAATCTTTACTTTACTTTAGATCGAGCACTTTATAGTCAAAATATTAAGGTAACTTCTTTCTACGATTTCTTTAGTAAGAAACTCAAGAGGAAAAAACTTTAGATAAGTTACTCGTTTCTTAAGATAGTCGACTCTTTGTTAGAACTCGTTCGTTCGCAGTTTTAAATATTTAAAGAGGATTTCTATGTTGTGGTTCAAAGGCTAACTCCACGATATGACACTAAAGTCAATTTCTATATGCAGTAGAAAATGAGAGAAACACTCGACTCTTTAATAAAGCATTCATATATATACTTTATATGCTCTCATACATTTTCTGCCTTTGCATTTCATCTAAAAGGGTCGAAAAAATATTTGAATATAATCTAAATGGAAAAGGATTAAGAAATGCGTCTACAGCAACTACAAAATAAAAGAAGAAAAAAATACAATGAAATATTGGATATAATCTAAGGCAAAGCTTTGCTATAGAAACTTGATGAAATTTAGGAAAATTGTTGAGTTTATTTGAATTGAAGCCACTGTTGCCTGCTCCTCGTTGCTAGTTCTTGCGTTTACGCATTCCTCCGAGCATGCGACAGAAAGCAGGATAATCAATCATGGGCGGTTCCTCTAGGGTCTTCGGCTTGGCCATGGGCGCATGGCTGAGCGCTTCCTTAGCCTCGCTGATGGTCATTTTGTCGCCATAGTTGGTGAGCTCCTCGTAGATTCTATTGGATGGGAAAGCGTGTGTATTAGGCCCATGACTTGGACACGGCATTTAGCACATTGCACCCACTTTCTCTCGTCGATCATGCCCGTGCCGTGATCGTCCCACTTGCTCCAGGCCTCAATCAAGACCTCCTCTGGGTCCAGCTCTATGGTGCGACGGCACATCAGCTGTACGAAGGCCTCGTAGTCCAAAGGTTCGTGCGCCTCGGACATCATTTGCTCCAGCAGTTGCTCGTTGGGCTCATTGCCGAGAGCCGTGTAGGTGAAACGCAGATCATCTTTCGATATGAGCCCGTCACAGTCCGTGTCAAAGAGCGTGAATACCTTGTGAAAATCGTCCGATCAACCACATTTGGGCACGTCATTCAACCAACACTTACTTCCTTCAGTTCCGCCAGCTTGGCAATGTCCAGGTCCTGCGGCGCCACATGATCATCGGCTCTTAGCTCCTCGGGCAGTGTATAATGGCCAGTGCTCTCTGGCAGCTTTAGCCGCGGATTGAATATCTCGTTAATCACGGCCATTGCCTCCGAGTCGGTTCCCAGCTGCGGCGGTGGCTGCGGCGTCTGCGATGCTTTACGCACGGAGCTGGCTCGACGACGCCGCTGGACGCCAGACAACAGAGGACATGAATACTAGAAATCATGGCTTGGACTTGGATTATATTCACTCACGCGTTCCAGATCTTCCAGTGAAACAGAAGGATCCATCGACATTTTGAACTGCGCGATTCACAAGCGTTTCACAAGCGATTTACACGCGACTCACACGCGATTTTGCACTTTGCCACGAAATAAATCTGGTCGCGACGATAGCGGCCAACGTTGTGTCCAACGCTCTGCCCAAGCTCCACTGAAATTGGTGGCGCCGGTGCTGAGCAATTTTATTGACAAATCGATTTCGAAATTTTTTTAATATTCTCTTCCTCTTGTTTTCTTGGGTTATTTTAATGCAGCTAAAATAGCTGCAAAATTTATAAAAATTGACACAAATTTGCGAACATTTATATAAATAACCAGGCGTGCCGAGCACGGCTCCACGGACCCCCCAGCCACAGTGGCCTTCACAAGGTATTTTAATTACATTGCATTCGCATATTTCCTCGATGGTCGACGCATTTTGATGGCTGTCGCGCAGCTGCCTATGTGGCTGACAGATCCAGATCTGTGATCGATTTGGATACGGCATGCCACAGAGCGGGTGGCAGCCGACAGAAGCGACTGTACGGCTGGCTTACTACGGCCGGAAGCGTTGCTACTCACCCGGGTCGCAGCTGCAGCTGCTGCAGCTGAAAGGCCACCAGCTCGTCGGCCGTGCCGCCAATGAAGATCATCAGGCAGTTGTTCTTGGCGCCCAGTGCATGGCTGGCGTTGATGCTGATGCTGCCCCATTGTGTGGCGTTGCGCTCGTTGGCGTGCAGGCAGCTGCAATCTGTGCATGGGCAAGCCTCAATTATGCATTCGCACCCAACTCCATTCAGATGTGACTTACCTAGCCACAGTTGCGTCTGCTTATTGCTAGCTACTGGCTGACCACTGGCCACCAAAATCAGTGGCAACACCAAAGTTAACCAAGCGGCCGCCATCTCCAGCGGCCAAAATGAAACTGCGATGCGAGCTGCCAAGCATCGCGATAATATCCTGTCAGTGGCTCAATGTCCTGCGGCTGCTTGTGTGTGCTTTAAAAATAGCCAGGCGCCACCCCAGCTGCACAGCTGCCCCGTTGTCCCGTTGTCCCGCTGCCCCACAGTTCTGTTCACCTGCCTTTTTTCGTATCATTAAATTTAAGTTGAGGTTTTTATGAAGCTGCCCAAACCCTGCCGCAGGTGGCGCCAATGCCAACGCCAATCGTTAGTTTCTGCCACAGCCCTCGCCTGTGGCACTTCCAGCCGACTTTGGGAAGCTATTTATAAGTGGATTTCATTTTTCTGTGATTGGCAGTTATCTCTGCTTTGGCAACTGTTTTTTAAAAGAGTTTTAAGCCATTTTATTGACCCGCAAGGGTCCGCCCACTCAAAAACATTCAAGAATGCAGCTTAACTCAATTCAGTTTGATTCGACACACGTAGGAAGTAAAAAGGACTCTATTATATAGCTTGAAGTCAATCCTGATCTATATATATCTATATCAGTATCTATATCAGTATCTATATCTATATCTATATCTATATCTATATATATATCTATATTTATATCTATATTTATATCTATATCTATATCTCAATCCATATCTATATCTATATCTATATCTATATCTATATCTATATCTATATCTATATCTATATCTATATCTATATCTATATCTATATCTATATCTATATCTATATCTATATCTATATCTATATCTATATCTATATCTATCTATATCTATATCTATATCTATATCTATATCTATATCTATATCTATATCTATCTATATCTATATCTATATCTATATCTATATCTATATCTATATCTATATCTATATCTATATCTATATCTATATCTATATCTATATCTATATCTATATCTATATCTATATCTATATCTATATCTATCTATATCTATATCTATATCTATATCTATATCTATATCTATATCTATATCTATATCTATATCTATATCTATATCTATATCTATATCTATATCTATATCTATATCTATATCTATATCTATATCTATATCTATATCTATATCTATATCTATATCTATATCTATATCTATATCTATATCTATATCTATATCTATATCTATATCTATATCTATATCTATATCTATATCTATATCTATATCTATATCTATATCTATATCTAAGCGAGAGCGAGAGCGAGAGCGAGAGCGAGAGCGAGAGCGAGAGCGAGAGCGAGAGCGAGAGCGAGAGCGAGAGCGAGAGCGAGAGCGAGAGCGAGAGCGAGAGCGAGAGCGAGAGCGAGAGCGAGAGCGAGAGCGAGAGCGAGAGCGAGAGCGAGAGCGAGAGCGAGAGCGAGAGCGAGAGCGAGAGCGAGAGCGAGAGCGAGAGCGAGAGCGAGAGCGAGAGCGAGAGCGAGAGCGAGAGCGAGAGCGAGAGCGAGAGCGAGAGCGAGAGCGAGAGCGAGAGCGAGAGCGAGAGCGAGAGCGAGAGCGAGAGCGAGAGCGAGAGCGAGAGCGAGAGCGAGAGCGAGAGCGAGAGCGAGAGCGAGAGCGAGAGCGAGAGCGAGAGCGAGAGCGAGAGCGAGAGCGAGAGCTATATCTATATCTATATCTATATCTATATCTATATCTATATCTATATCTATATCTATATCTATATCTATATCTATATCTATATCTATATCTATATCTATATCTATATCTATATCTATATCTATATCTATATCTATATCTATATCTATATCTATATCTATATCTATATCTATATCTATATCTATATCTATATCTATATCTATATCTATATCTATATCTATATCGAGATGCGAGAGCGAGAGCGAGAGCTAGGAGCGAGGCGAGAGCGAGCGCAGGAGCGAGAGCGAGAGCGAGGCGAGAGCGAGAGCCGAGAGCGAGAGCGAGAGCGAGAGCGAGAGCGAGAGCGAGAGCGAGAGCGAGAGCGAGAGCGAGCGCGCGATCTAGAGCGAGAGCGAGAAGAGATAGCGAGAGAGAGAGCGAGAGCGAGAGCGATAGGTCGAAGAGGAGAGAGCGAGATCTGAGAGCGAGGAGCGATGAGCGAGAGCAGAGCGGAGCGAAGCGAAATCTATATCTATATCTATATCTATATCTATATCTATATCTATATCTATATCTATATCTATATCTATATCTATATTTATATCTATATCTTTATCTATTACTATATCAAACAATTTCATCGAAAGCCAAACGCCAAACATTTATTTAATACAACTTTAACACACACACTATAAACTATATGTATATATTTGATTTGAGTTAGATATAGCTGTAGCTGATTAGGTGCTACCTGTTTGATTCATCTTCGCCTTGAACATGTCGGCCAACATAGCCGCTTTGCTGGCGTTCAGTTCTTCGTAGTCGTAGGGCGCCATGTGCTGCTTGCAGAGCTCCAGCCATTGCTTGACATGTTTATAGGGCCTAATTTCGAAGCCGAAGGCCTCCAGCTGGGATACGGTAACGAGTAGTGTCAAATCCGCAATGGTAAAATGATCTGCAGCTGCATATTCCCGACCTTCGAGCATTGAATTGAACCAGCCAACAGCTTCAGCCAGCTTGGCGCGTTTGCCCTCGTCCAGGGGGGCGCCAATGAACATTGTGGGAAACTGCGTGGAGGCAAATACATATAGAACAGTAAATGTTGATAATCTATTCTATAAGCTACTCACATAGAAGTCGGTGAGGCGCTGATAGAGTGTGCCCAGATCGAAGTGTAGGCGCTGATCCACCATGGCTCGCACGCGTACATCCGTGGGATACAGCTCGTCGGACTTGGCGTAGGCGGCAACCAAATAGGAGAGAATAGCGCGACTGAAAGGGATAAATAATTGTTAGAAACTCTTGATTTTCAGGTTCTCTCTTGAAGTATCTTTCACCTTTCCCATAGCACCAATCCCTCATCGTTCATGGTGGGCACACAGTGCTGTGGGTTAATGGCCACAAAGTCAGGCTTCAGCTGCTCCCCCTCCAGTATGTTGACGATCTTCAGCTCAAAGTTCAGATCGAGCATTTTGGCCAGCAGCAGAATACTGCGACAGGGCGGACTCGGAGGCAGATAATACAGCACGGGCGTGGACATCTTACCACCTCTGACAATTAGAAAGTAGACGAATTCGGTGACAATTTGTTCGGTTCGATTCATGGGTAACAACTGAAAAGGGCTTTGTAAATTGGCCAACAACACGACAGGACACCAGTTGGTCGTATAGCAGAAAATCAATTCATCGATTTCAAATATTTTATTAATGTAAATTGCTTGACGATTTACATTAGCCTTCGACAAGGTGAGTGCTAAAGGTCGAGCGAAATTTCTTCTCAATATGTTATAGGCAATTATTTTAATTATAACACATTTACTTAATTACATAAGTAATTAGTGAAATAATGAAAATAAATCAAGAACAATTACTAAGGTCTAGGGTTAGTGAAGAATTTAAGCAGGGATTGGTTTGGTCGAATACAAAGAACATTTTTGGAAATGTATTAAAATACACAAATGCAGTGTTAAGAGATAAGAAAGGTCCAGTTGGGGAAAACGGTAATAGTTATTGATTATTTGAAACCTGCAGAAAAGTCCCTAACTCTGTTAGGCTCTGAGATTAACGCGTTCAAACATACGGACGGACAGTTAACGGACGAATAAACAGACAGACAGATTAACGCTTAGATCAACTCAGCTCAGACGTCCTGATCAAAAATATATATACTTTATGGGGTCTGTCATGCCTTCTTCTGCCTGTTACATACATTTTAACTGAGCATTTATAACCTGAATTCCCCTTTCCAATGGGTCAGAAAAAATATAAAAAAATTGTTAGACTGAAGGCTTAAAGAAAACTAAAGTTAATTTATATTTAAAACCACACATAATTAATATTTTTAGGGAATATTTTTTAAAAATGTAATTCAGTTGATCACCAATCATCACCAGAATATTTTTATCAAATAACCATTATAGAACCTTCGTAGGGTATGCAATTGCTGAGCTGTTAAAAGTTATGCACACTTGAGTGTATTACTCGCATATTAATTGTGAAGAGCTTGTTCTACCTCGCTTGTTTTTAAATAGTTAATGTGGGAATAGTTGGGCTGGGGAGCCAGCTAGCTGCATACTCACACAATCTTATGCACCAGCTTGTGTTGCACCACTGCCACGGAGTCGATGTCTATGCAGTTCCCCAGTGTGGCTGCGAGTGTCGAGCGCTGCTGTCGTCGCGACGGAGCTCCGATGCTTTGGTCAATGCAACTGGTCCACAGTGGCTGCTGCTCCGTTGATGATATAATCGGTTTATGTTAACTTGGGGACGTGGCTGTCCCTCAATGTATCCGTCGCCGTCGCCGTCGCTGTCTGCCTGTTTGAATTTTCAGAACTTTCATGTCATCGGTGGCTGCTTGGCGCTTTGTTTCATGTCTGTTTTGTTTTGCTATTTTCGTTTAGTTTTCATAGCGAACGTTACCTGGACGACAGCCACGGCGCGTCGCCTCGGCTAATGTGTGCTCACCTGAATGGGCCCGAGTGGGTGAAGGAGGACAGTAGCTTTATTATGGGGGCGTGCGACTGCCGAAACTCGGTCAGGATATCGTGCGCTTGTCTGCTCCTTTTTTCGTTCTAAAATTAAGCCACTACATAATTTGTTGTAGCTACGTGTTTTATTTGTTATTGATTGCTGCAAGTCTTTCCAACTGAGTGCCGCTCGGAAACTTGGTCAGGCGGCAACTAGGGGCGAAACTGAAAGTGGGCAGGCATTGTGCTAACTTTTAGCACTTTCTTGGCCACTTAGAAGCAAGCACGAGCTGTCGTGGGTCATTAGATAAGCTGAAATGTGAAGGTAATCAACTAAGACGGCAGCAGACACTCTTTTTCGCCCGCCACTGTAGGGCGAAACTTACATAGCGCACTTGCCTAGCTACCTGAGCTGTTATTTCTGCAGGTAAGCCAAGGACAATGTCTGTTTTTGGAAAATTGTGGAAAAAACATTGCAAGACATTAACCAAGGAAATTCCCAGAAAATCTGTCATTAACTGCTGAAATAAGGGACAATTGAATGCGCAATGCACAAGGATAACAAACAATCAAAATGGACACGGCTGGCAGTGGCCTATAAAGAAGCAGCGCTGCACAAGTGCCGTAAACAGTATTCGTCGTGCAAGTGCCCAGAGATGAGCTATAGAAGTCCATACAACATGTCGCTGCGCCTGCTGCTGTTGCTCATGATGTTGTATGAAGCCCGCACACTGCCGGCCCTGGACAATGCTCCAGCTGCAACAGCTGCCAATAGCATCGAGGAGACGGATAAGCTGCCAAATACACACATCGAGTCGATCGCCTCAAGTGAGGCAGTCCTGATCAATGCCAACACCTCGAATCAGACTGATGCGGGAAACAACGAAACGCTGGAGCCGACAGTCGTAAGTGAAAACTAAACAGTTCGAAGTATGAAGACAGAGAACTGAGAGCATTCTATTGCAGCCTGGTGATAATGTGGCCAGCGCCAGCAGCAATGAGCCGGTGTCCATCTATGCCGGTGGCCTCATCACGCCCGAGGCCTTTCACCAGTACCTGAGCCAATACGGCGGAGCAGCGGGCTTGGCACCGCTTGCAGCGGGCTATCCAGCACCCATAACTGGGGCGCCCGGCATCTATCCGTATCCGGGGCCCATTATGGTGCAGACGGGTTACGAGGGCTTCCTGGTGCCCACCAATGCAGCTAGCGCCGATAGTGCTTCAGATGCGACCACAACTGTGGTGGCTGCACCCTCTCCTGCCATGAACCCCCTGATGGCCTTTGCGTCCAGACTGTTGCCCACCATACTGATGTCGACGCTGTTTCGCATCGCGGCCGTCGTCCTATCCGCCGTGGGGATAATACTCTTTGGCGGCGCCATCACCAACACCCTTTGTCGGCTAACTAAAATCTGCGAGATCCCAAGCAAAGCCGTTAACTTGCTACGATCTGGCGGGGCACAGGACGTGGGTCGCATGCTGGCCGAGGAAATTACGCCGGAACGCGTGCGGCGCACCGCCGAGTTCGTGCGCAATGCCATTCACAAATATAGCCAGCTGCAGAAGCTAATTGAGCCGGACACAGAAACGGAGTAGAACTTACGGACTGAACTTAACCCTAAAATTGTTGCTGGAACTTAATGTAGTTGCTTGTAAACCAAGAAGAACTGAAATATATATACTTTTAATTTAGTCATAATCATGATGAAGTCTAAAGAAAATCTTTGATATCTGTAGAAGACATCTGTAAAACACCTGATCAAATCTTTGACTTAATTAAGTTTATTAAATCCAATTATTGATAATTTATATCTCGCTTAGCTTAAACAAATAAGAACTTAGAAATCAGTTTTATAAATATATATAATGCTTGATTTAGATTTTAGAAAATTAACATCTGCCTTCAGCTGCTTCATCAGAGTATTTAGGTATAGACTCCATCGGCCAATATTATCATCTAAGCACTTTCGTATCAACTTTTGCATCGTAAAATATTTTCATCATTATCAAATATCAACAAATGTCAGTTAGTTTCGGAGCCATATTATGTCGAATTTCCAGAAAGGTGTTTAGGAATTGAGTTTCTATTTTGCTTAAGGCTTTAGGATTTATCAGTTTTGTTAAGACAAAATACTGGATTTTAATAGTCATGGAACAACTTATAGAGCACACTCTCTAGATGTCGATTAATTAATGTCCAACTAAAGTAAGCTTCTTGACTGTTTTAACTCTATTGCCAAAGCGCTTTTGATGACACATAGATAAGGGGAAAGTGTAGTAGAAATTCTTGTTAAGTAAATGTCATCTGAGATATATATAGCAAAGATAATATTAAAGAAGTAGCACTTACGATGTGAAATGGCCAAGGTAATGAAGTGCATAGCGCTAGGTGCCTGCGCCTCTCTCTCTCTCTTGCCCCCTCTCTCTCTCTCTTTTCCCCTCTCTCTCCCAGTCTGTCTGTACAAACGATTTTAGTAACTACAAAAGTTAACACAACTGAAATGTTATCGATAACACTTGATGCATTTTCATTTTTCTTTTCTGAACTTATTATATTTCATAATTTACTAGACATAATTTTTGACAATAAATAAATTTTAATATTAAACATTTTCTGAATAGAATATAATGATTTAAGCTTGCACTACCTTCATTTTAGAGTCGAAAAAGTCCTGCATCTGGGCCAAGCCATCCAAATTTTCCGACCAGCCGGGTGTTACCTTTTCGGCATTGGCGTACCACTTGGCCACATTTGGATAGTTCTTGATCTCAAACTTGGTGGCCAATAATGTAGAAATATTGGCCAGAATGGCAATATCAGCTATGGTCAAATGGTCGCCTGCCACATACTGTTGGCCCTCCAGGAAGGTGTTCAGCAAACCAACGGCAGCCTCGATCTTTTTTAAATCTTCCGGATCTCCGGGTTTGTTTTGAAAGAATATTGGGCGATAATAATCAGCGAATGCCTTGTACAGCACACCTATGTCGAAGTAAAGGCGCTGATTAACTAGCGCCTGTTGCTTGGGATCCTTGGGGAAGAGTGAATCGTCTTTGCCGTATGTCTGGACCAGGTAGACCATAATGGCACGTGACTCCCACAGTGCGAAGCCATTGTCCACGATCGTAGGAATCGTGTGCTGTGGATTGATCTTCAGAAATTCTGGTTTCAGTTGATCCTCCTCCAAGACGTTCAGTATTATCTTGTTGAGCTCGACTCCCAGAGCTTTTGCCGTCATTATAACTGAACGACAGGGCGCTGAACCGGGCATATAGTAGAAATCCATGTTCAAATTGTGCTGTGTTCTGCTGTCGAATGTTCGGCGCAAACTGCTGTCGAGCACGGGACAGTAGCTGCTTTTATAGCAATAGTTGACCGAAAATTTTCTGTAGTAGTTTTCCATTTATATACCCTGAACCCATCGAAAATGAAAGCACTGGGTATAATGTTTTTTGTTACTGCCGGAATTTCACAATTAACTTCCCATGTTAACTCAACTGCTCCGTAAACTGCGCAGTAAGCAGAGCACGCATGTGTATGTGTGTGTGCCTGTGTTGTATGTGATATGTACGTATACAGAGCGTAGAATGATTGGAATATTAGGTTTTCGCAGGGTTCAGGGTATCTCCTAGTCGGACTAGAGCTCTTACTTGGTTTTATCAAATTCTGCTCGTCACGGTTACTTTCAGTTTTATGTGTGAGTTTATATACATATATAAGAACAGGCAATTCATACTGACTGTGCCATACTCGTCAAGCGGTTACAAATTATTATTGGAACGTATGTAAAAGATGATTTTTAAAAATTATGGAAGTTTTATCCTCAGCATTTGACTATTTCATTAATTATCGGGTTATAATCTTGTATATTATCTATACAACGCTTCAAAAAATATAGATTTGTTCACACGAGTTCTCTGACGTTCAAATAACCAATATACCCATTTACCTATTTGAACAAGTAACAAGTAAACAATTATTCATGCGTTGTTATCTCTCTCCAAATCAATAATAAGGCGAGAAAATTGTTTTAATATTATTCAGAAATATAACAAAATAATTTTGTTATCTCAATTAGCTTATTATATAACTCCAACTATATAATAATTACAAATTGACTTACTTTGCAAAGAAGAGCGTTGAGAAAACTAAAACAGAGCATCAAGCACGAAAGCTGCCTAAGTTCGTTAAATTCGTGAAATGCTCGCAAGAGGTTAAAAAGAACGTTTAAAAAGTCAACGAAAATTTTATTTTTAGCACAGCGTCAAGTAAGCATGAACATGACGTCACACACATGAAGTCACACACATACGTACATACCGTGCTACGCAAAATAGCTGAATATACGAAAGCTAAAGCAGTGTCTGTATGTAAATGTAATTCCACACTGAAATAAATGCTTATGTATTGGTACGTATATACGTAAATTTGTACGTATATGTGCATATATGTGTATTTGTGTATGTAGGCGAGTTTGTAAATACTTAAAAGCTTTTCGGTATCTCTCGCTTGCCGCTAATTATTAATTTTTATGATTGTTTGGTAAATAAATAAATACGCTTAGTTCAACTAGCTGTATATATATAGAATTTATTCAATATTTTCTGTTAACTTAGTGTTTAAAGAAATTATAAATATTTGTTATAAAATATCAAGAGACTGTGATAAATTTACTGTTTGCGCATTGCTGCAATCCGCTCTTTGAGCTTTTCCAAGCCTTCCTGATTCTCGGACCAGCCGGGCGTAACTTTTTGGACATGTTCGTACCACTTGGCCACGTTTGGATAGTTTTCCAGTGGAAAGCCCACTGTCACAACAGTCGAAACTGAGGCTAAGATGGAAATATCGGCGACTGTTAGCCGACTGCCGGCCACATATTGCTCGCCTTCCAGAAAAGTGTTCAGCAAAGCAAAGGCAGCTTCGACTTTCTTGAAGTTTTCTGGATCGGCTGGCTTGTTAAACCGAAACTGTGGATAGTAATAGTCGGCGAAGGCCTGGTAGAGTACGCCCATGTCAAAGTATAGACGCTGATTAACTAGCGCCTGTTGCTGTGGATCCTTGGGAAAGAGTGAATCATCTTTGCCGTACTTCTCAACCAGGTAGACCAGAATGGCACGCGATTCCCAAATGGAGAAGCCATTGTCCACGAGCGTTGGGATCGTGTGCTGGGGATTCAGCTTGATGAACTCCGGCTTCAGTTGCTCCTTTTCGCCAGTGTTGAGCAACTTCTTGTTCAGCTTAATGCCCAGTGCGGCAGCAGTCATCAGAACGGAGCGGCACGGCGCCGAGCCAGGTGAGTAATAAAAGTCCATTTTCACAATCTGAATTCCCGTGTCCGACGCCTTCGATGTGCGAGCGACTACTGAATTCTCCGTTGCTGCTATGGCTATTATACGAGAAGTCAAAGCTCCGATAAGCCATGACATGCATGAATTCTTATCGAAAAAAAATGGGATCGTCAGTGCTTCAATGCTATGTAAACCCATGTGGGGTAGTATCACAGGTAATCATAATTTCATCGAGTGGTATTATCAGCGGCAATCAAAATTTAAATTATTCATTTCTGAATTCTTATGAAATAAATTCGAACAATTTAGAAATCTTTGGAAGTTTTTCCTTATAATGCAGTTATGGGTTTTTTTGGATTCCCCATCTTTACTGCATCTATCTATATATAGAATAACAAAACTCTTCGGAATATATATTCTCATCTTATAAGCAGTGAAAAATCGCATATAATTGAACTGTTTATGCACTATCAAAGAGTATTATGCAGTCGGATACGCCTTACTGCAGTGTTGTTACATACTTTATTTAATTTAATAATTGTTATCCAAATTTATTAATACATTCGCATGAATTTGTTAGTTTATTTAGTTGCGTTTTCTTTGCGCTTCTCTTCGATCCATTCTTTCATGGCAGCCAAGCCCTCATCCCAGTCGGGTATTGCCTTCTGTATGGCCTTATACCACCTGACCACATTTGTGTATTTGGTAATATCGAAGTCGGCCGCAACAAATGTAGAAACTGAGGCCACAACGGAATAATCAGCCACAGTCACTGTGTTACCAGCGACAAATTCATTATCTTCCAGGAATGTGTTAAGGAACTCAAATGCCGTTTCCATCTTGACATACTTGGCTGGATCTGCTGGCGCTTGATGCAGCAGCTGCGGGTAGTAATATTCAGCGAAGCTGTGTATCAGAGTGCCCATGTCGAAGTAAAGACGCTGATTGATCAGTGCTCGTTTCTGCGGATCCTTGGGATATAGTGAGTCGTCCTTACCGTACTGCTCCACGAGGTAGACAAGAATGGCACGCGACTCCCACAGCGAGAAGCCATTGTCCACGAGCGTTGGGATCGTGTGCTGTGGATTGATCTTCACGAATTCCGGTGTGAGTTGTTCACCAGCCAATGTGTTCAGAAGCTTCTTATTTAGCTCAACTCCCACTGCCTTGGCCACCATAATGACAGCACGACACGGAGCTGAAGGCGGCAAATAATAAAAGTCCATTTCACAGTTGGTATTTCAGTCCTTTCTGTTTGAAGAGCGATCCAGCACTGACTTTTATATGTTTGCGCAACGTAATACGAGTAGGTCTTTGTAAAAATGTATACATCTGTAGGTATATCGCCTTTCTTATCGGCAATTATAGTTTACCTCTTTCAGTACACAGAGAAAGAAGCAACTATATAACATCTTGTGTGCATCCAGAGAGTAATCGGACCGGCCTTAAATGTTCTAAATTCTTATAACTATACACTGGCCAACAAAAGAGTATCAAAAATTATAATCTAGAATCTGAACTGCGAGTGGCACTGCTACTCCAGCCCAAATCGTGTTGGCCTGTGTTATTTATTCATTCCAACTGGTATACATGGTATAATTACATACATATAGTTTTATTTGCTTAACTAGAAGATACCCTGTAAAAAGATTCAAAGCTCTGTCATGGCCTCTAATTACATAGAAATGCAAATAAGCATTAGAGCGTACTAGTTAACGCACTGTATAGCTTGTACATTTTTATGTCTAACGTGTATAAAAATATATATATAAAGCAAAGAATTTGTATTTCATTTTATATCAGTTCGTTCTTTAGTCTGTCAAAACACTCTTGTGAGTTTGGTATGCATAGGGCATAAATCTAAATAGAATTTTTGTCAAGCTAGTTTTTACTGCCTCTCTTACAGCCGCATCTCTTTACATGCCGCTTCGCTTCTCTTTGCTTAAGTCAAAGCTCTTTGCTTAGGCGGCGGATCTTTTCTTATGGCGCAGTCCCATGACGCATGCGTCGTTCATGTGGGCAAACTGGTTCGTCGGGCATACATATAACTTAAGTGTCGCATAGACGCCGCGACCTTTCTCTACATTTTTTCTCTTCGTCAGAGATCGATGCCGAAAAACCCAAATCACTTGTTTGTTTATGTTTTTCATTGAATCATTGAATTATGTGCAAATGAGTAAACTGCCCGTTCTTCTTCGTCTTCTTCTTTTACGCATATTAATGTTTTGGGGTTTTCTCAAAGCTGCGAACTTTCTGGAATTTGGAGAAGTGACTAAACTGCCGCAGCTCTCAGATCAAAGTAGTTCGCTCGAATTGTTTTTGGTTTGAAGATACTACTGACGTGTACACACATCAGAGTGAGCTAGCTCGCATTGTTTATAAATAATGGTTTTTATGCAACGTCATGCTGATAGTAAAATTTGCAAATTGTGAAACTGATAAAAACAACAACATGATTGATGTTCACAGAACATTCCAGTCGTACGTATAAAATATGTGCCAAGTCATATACTGTTTGTAAGCTGATGCTACAGAATTTCATCACTGATATACATTTCACAGTACTGAAGCTTGATGAAACTTAATATGATGAAGTTTATGCTTATACAGGGCATCTGTATTATCATAAGCTGAAATGTATTTATAACAATAAAGAAATACTTGGAAATATTTGAAATGACTGGAGTCGAATTTATTGAATTACAAAATAATTAAATAGTTATGGTCAGGTTAATATTTTTATAGTTCCTGGTGACTTTGCGTGACCTCAGCTACTTATAACGGAAAGCTTTTGTGTGCCCTTAACAAAGCAAATTTCTGTAGTAGTGCAATTAGCTACAGTAATCACCATGAGCTAAGTTTAGCGCTGTGCCCGCCTTTAATGGAAAGTCAATAACATTAAGAAATGCACATACATACAGACATTCTGTAATACATGCATACAAGCACCACCAAGCAATGTGGACATATATTGTTATACATTGTTCACGTCGCTTACATGCGTTTATTAGCAAAGCTTTTACTCTTAATCGATCGTATGTCAAGGGCGTGGGCAGCTCTCAAGAGTGTATATACAAACATACATACATATATTCATATATAAGTACATATATAGACACGTATATAATTTGACACTTTCAAGGCCAATGGAAAAGTCAGTTAGTTGGTACGAATATGTATTTGAATGTGTAAGTAAAATATTTTTAATTAATTGATCCGCATAAATATTTATGTACTTATGTGAATACATATGTTTGTAAGTACATGTTCCGAAATTCTGTATACGTATGTCTTTATATATGTGATCAAATGTGTTGTACCGGTTGCAGCAATTAAGCTTTCGTGATTATTTTCAAATTTTTAATGTTTTAAGTTCTACTCAGCAGCAGCTGCAAAGAATTCCCACAAATTGCCTGAAACCAAATTGTTTATAATGGACGTAATAGAAGCTCAAACTGTCTATATTATATGCACGTTCATATGAATAAAAGATATCCACACACACTCACGAATAAATATATACTTATAATAGAGAATTTGAGCAACATATGCACACACACATTCATACATGTGTACATACAGCAAAGAGAGACAAACAACAACAGTAAATTCGCAAACAAAAAGAATCGAAAATATTGCTATGCTGAGAGCACAGATGAGAGCTAAAATATTTTCTCCCTAAAATGTAAAATTTGAGGCGATCCGCAATATGGTGCATCGAGTTCATTAGAAAGTTGCCGCTTTCTGTGGCACCACAAGTGAAGGGTATTTGTTGCATGCTGTACAAGTTAGTTGTGTTGTTATAATTTGGATTATATTCATATATCTCCTACATGTTCCACTTTTTATAGTAGTTTTATAAGCATGTATATGTATTCACAATCAACGCCAAACACGCGAAAACAGCAAGCGCTCTTTATGGCAATTAGCTGTGTGCGCGTGTGTATGAATGTGTGTGTGTATGCGTGCATGTACAATGCTCCCCGCAAACCGTAGATAAGTATTTGTTTGTTTGCCGGTTTTATAGCGGCCGGTCGCTGACTCACACTGGCTGTCTATAAAAGCCGCGCGTCTCTTCAAAAGCTCAACAGTGTTGCTTGATACTTGGTACAGTGCGCCGGGAATTCTCTACAAATCAAAAAGTAAGTGTCTACGTGTACCATATACATACAGTTATACATATACAAGAGTTATGTATGTTCCTATATCAAAGTGTTCATTTGTGTTTGTGAGCCTAAAAAACTACTTGAATTGTGTGGAAAAAACCAAAACAGAAAGCATACGCGTTTTGTCTATGTCATCACAGGAATACAGATTGCGTATATACAGCGATATATGTATATACACAGCGATATTTAATTATGATTTTGCTAAAATGATGAAGCTCGTCTAATGGTCATTTGTCTTCTGTGCTCTTCTAATTATAGTAAAACTAAAATGGCTGACTTCTACTATTTGCCCGGCTCTTCGCCCTGCCGCTCCGTCATCATGGTCGCTAAGGCTGTTGGCGTTGAGCTCAACAAGAAGCTGCTGAATCTGCAGGCTGGCGAGCATCTGAAGCCCGAGTTCTTGAAGATCAATCCTCAGCACACGATTCCCACATTGGTGGACAATGGCTTCGCCCTATGGGAGTCGCGCGCCATTCTCGTCTACCTGGTGGAGAAGTACGGCAAGACCGATTCGCTCTATCCCAAGTGCCCCAAGAAGCGCGCACTGATCAACCAGAGACTGTACTTCGATATGGGCACTCTGTACCAGAGCTTTGCCAACTACTACTATCCCCAGGTGTTCGCCAAGGCACCCGCCGACCCCGAGGCCTTCAAGAAGATCGAATCCGCGTTCGAGTTCCTGAACACCTTCCTGGAGGGTCAGACCTATGCCGCCGGTGATTCGCTCACCGTCGCCGACATTGCCTTGTTGGCCAGTGTGTCCACTTTCGAGGTGGCCAAATTCGACATCAGCAAGTACGAGAATGTGAACAAGTGGTACGAGAACGCCAAGAAGGTGACTCCCGGCTGGGATGAAAACTGGGCCGGTTGCTTGGAATTCAAGAAATACTTCGAATAAGCTTCATTCCTTGTCCGAGTATTATTATATTTATAATTAATTCATATAATTAACTCACAAAACGATTTGAAATCGTCAAATCTTGTGTGCTATTTGCATCAAGCGAGACTTGGTGCGAATGATATTTTTCGCTTCAAATAAAAGAGTATTCATTTTTTTTGAGTACAATTTAAGAGATTAAGCTTTATGGCTTTTATTTTTGTGTTCGTTGCGCTCTTAGAAAAATTAAGAGAATTTTCAGTTTTCGTGCTATTGCTTTTGATGCGATAGCGTGAGGTTGCCAATTCTTTTGCTATCGTTTTGCTCTCTATATATTAACGTTGATGATATATGCAATTACGCAAGTGTGTGTGTGTGCAATGGCACAAACACCACTTGTGCACAAATTGAAATGTGTCAATTATCGCTCACACTGCTACCCTTTCGTTCCTCGTATAGTATAACAATTTAAAGCTAGTTTGGGTGCATCGTCTGTGTTTACATGATTATTTTGTGAGAGAGTATTTAAATTTGACGCGTTGGTTTTCAAATTCTACACTTGCATTCACACAAAACCTCCCTTTGACTGTTTGTATAGTGTGTGCAAGCGTATGTAAGCAAGTGTGCTTTCATATTTGTGTATGCTTAAACTCTCTTTGTAAATCTGTTTATAAATGGCAACTATAGCGGCTTCTCTCTTTTTGCTGCACTCTACAAATGCCGGGTGGCTTTACAATGTCTCAATTTAGTTGCAATAAGTACAGTAAGCAGGAAACGTCATATAACCAGTAAGTGAACATAAAGAACTAATTCAATGTGAACAATGTATATGAAAAAATAAATAAATTGCTGAAGGCCGCACATCAAATACTCTTCAAATATTTTATATTCAAGTGAAAAAATTTAGAACAGAAAAATTCTATATAGCAGAAAATAAAACTTAGTAGTCAATTTTTTTCATTTAATTCATTTCTCAGAGTTTAAGCTGTTTAAACCGTAATTTGAGCCCGAATCACTTCGCTCGTAAATTATCAAGACAAAAACTTTTGCTAACAGAATTAAATATTTCATATAATAACTTTTAGTTAATATGTTGGACTTTTACTATATGCTCTACTCGGCGCCCTGTCGCTCCATTTTAATGTTTGCCCAGGCCCTGGGAGTAGAGCTGAACAAGAAGCAGGTGGATCTGGATGCCGGAGATCATTTGAAGCCCGAGTTCCTCAAGATAAATCCACAGCACACGATTCCCACACTGGTTGATGGGGACTTTGCGCTATGGGAATCACGTGCTATATTGCTGTATCTGGCTGAGACCTACAGCAAGGACGACGCCCTGTATCCCAAGGATCCGAAGCACAGAGCCGTCGTGAATCACCGTTTGTTCTTCGACCTGGGCACATGGTATCAGAGCTACGTCTATTACTACTATCCCCAATTGTTTGACGACGTCAAGAAGCCAGCTGATGCTGATCACTTAAAAAGAATCGATGCTGCCTTCGCCGCCTTCAACACGCTATTAGAGGGCCTCAATTATGCAGCTGGCGATAAGCTAACCCTGGCCGATTTCGCACTCTTGGCCACCGTTTCCACCTTCGAGGTGACTGGATACGATTTCAGCCAGTTCGCCAATGTGAGCAGGTGGTACGAGACAGCCAAGAAGGAGGTGCCCGGCTGGGAGGAGAACTGGGAGGGTTGCTTGTATTACAAGAAACTGTACTTGTCGGAGCTGCAAGCCTGAAATGTCTTGATATTAAATATATTGTTTATTCTTAAAGCCTGATTATTATGTAAACTTTATCATAAATACACAAAAGTCAACGACTCTACAAACTTTATCTTATCGAATGTTGTGGAAGACAGTTCATTTGCTAGAGTAGCGCGTCGGCAAGTGCTGATAGCTGAGAACACACCTGCGATAAGATATCACATCACCTGTTTATGAACAGCTCCAGTTGCCCCCAAGTGGATAGGGCCTGGGCCGTGTACATGGATGAGGCGAGCTAATCAAGAAATCAGTGGAATATGTGACACTAATTGCCGAGTCACCCAGCTATCAATGATGATAGTAGTAAATAGAAAAATTATCACCTGAGCTAAGCCACGATATGCTGCCTTAAAACATGTATCTATAATATATGCATATCTATAAAGTTGTCTTAAAGCTCTGAGCGCAGCTCAGTTGGCTCAAGCTCTTTGTTAGAAAAACTGTGTGGCTGGACAGGTGGACAGGTGGACAGGTGGACAGGTGGACAGGTGGACAGGCAGAAACACAATAGCTTATAAAACTTGTATTTTATTTTTCGACATTTTGTTGCGTAATCGAGGTAAAGAAAGTGATTATCATGAAACGAGAGATGGGTCGCTTGGCCGGCTGCCTTTGTTTGCATTCAGTGACAGCTCTTGATGAATACGAATTTTATTGTAGGCTAAGGCAACAGCAATGGACTTGTATTATCGACCCGGATCTGCGCCGTGTCGTGCGGTCATTATGACGGCCAAGGCAATTGGCATTGAGTTTGATAAGCTGATTATTATCAATACGCGCGCTGGCGAGCAGTTCCAGCCGGAGTTCCTGCAGCTGAATCCACAGCACACGATACCCACGCTGCTGGACGGGGGCTTTGTGCTGTGGGAATCGCGTGCCATCATGGTCTACCTGGCGGAGCAGTATGGCCAGGCGACAGCTCTATATCCCCAGGACATCGAGGCGAGGTCGTTGATTAATCAGCGCCTGTACTTTGACATGGGCACGCTGTACAAGAGCTTCGCGGACTACTACTATCCGCAGATCTTCCAGCAGCAGGCGCCCGACGTGGCGCAGTATGCGAAGATCGAGGCTGCCTTTGAGCTGCTGAATGGCTTCCTGGCGGAGCGGAGCTATGTGGCTGGCGAGAGCTTGACTCTGGCAGACATCTCAATCTTGGCCAGCGTCTCGACCTTCGACGTGGCCGGCTTTGACGTGCGGCGTTATGGCAACGTGGCCAGGTGGTACGAGCTGGCGCAGCTGAACACACCTGGCTGGGCGGCCAACTGGGCGGGTTGCCAGGAGTTTCAGAAGTACTTCCAGAAGTGAACTATGTCTAGGAGCGTCAATTAAAGAAAGCTTCGTTTATTGCACTTGGTTCTTCACTGTGAGAAGGGGCTACACGCTAAGATATTGCACTTGGCTAATTGGCTAAGCTAAAGGCTAAAACAAGGAGGTCGATTTGCTGAACTCGAGCGGGCGTCGAAACGATTGCTCCAGATTGTGGAGTCGCTGCTCCAGATCGTTCATCGAGTTGCGCAGCGCGTGGCCGCGCGGGCGCAGCGAGATTTGCGGCGAGTGCTGCATCAGGTCGTCCTTGACGCCCGAGAAGGAATGGCGCACGCAGGAGCGCTTCTCGAATTTGGTATTCTGATAGTGCGGATGCGGATGCTGATGCTGATGCGGATGCGGATGCGGATGACTGCGCTGCTCGCAGCTGCCACTGCGGCAATTGTGGGCGACAAGCGGCTCATCCGTCTTCAGCGAATCCTCGTAGGTATCACTGGAATGAAAACAGATGTAGCCCATCGCAGCCAAGTTGTACGGAAAGTAAATGCCACCCACCTGCTGTCCGTGTGCGGCTGCTGGCGCAGCTCCAGGTGCGCCTTGGCATGCCTGGGACAGAGCAGCTCCCCGTTGCTGGCGCGCTGAAAGGAGTCCGGCGAGGTCTCGTACAGCTCACGGCTGCTCAGGAACTCCACGCCCGAGTCCTGGCCCGTCGAGTGCAGCGAGAACAGCGACGTCTCATAATTGTTGCTGAAACAAAGATGCAACGAAATTTTAGTGGCATGCAGCAAAGGCGCAGCCAAAACTCACAGATTGTTCACCGGCTGGCACGAGTTGTACTTGAGCACAAACGGAGCACTGCCATCGGCTGCTGCTGCTGCTGCTGCTGCTGCCGCCGCCTTGGCAATGGACTTTGGCAGCGGCACATCGATGTATTCGCGCTGGCACTGCTGCTGCCTGAATGCGAATGCGAGAAGACGAAGATGAAGAGGACGAAACCAGTTTAGCTTGGTGTCTCTTGTACTCACTCGTTCAGGTACTGGTGGTGCTGCTGCTGTGTGACCAGCGCCTGCTGCTGGTGGTGCTGATGCAGTTGCTGTTCCAGTTTCTCTGTGGCCGTTGCCGTCGACTGCGTTTGCGCCGAGGAGCACAGCGATTCGTTCATGAAGGCGCTGGTTGGACGCGTCTGCACGCCGTTGCCATTGCCGCCGCCGCCGCCGCCTTTGCTGCTGCTGCCCTTGTTGCAGCGCTGCGTGTGCCGCAGCTGGCGCTGGCGTCGCTGCTGCGAGCGCGTCTGGTTAATACCAGCTATGGTATAGGCGAGTCCAGCCTCCGAGGCGGCAAAGTCGCGCTGCGACCAGAGCTGGCTGCAAGCAGATCAAATGATCAGATTTCTGGAACGACTTTGACATTCGCAACGTCAAACGATTCTGATGAAGCTTAGCTTAATTACCAGCTGTTTAGGCGGCTTCTTGTTGTTGTTCTTGCTTTGACTTTTTTTTTACCGTTAGAATTCCAGCGGGCAGCTGAGCTGCAGCAGCAGCCGGTTTGCCCAAGCCAAACAAGAAGCAACAACAACAACCAAGCCATTTGAGCCGCACTTAAAGAAGATTTATTACTTGGCCTTAAACTAAACTATATCTGTATATATATAGATAGATATATATATATATATATATAATATGTATCGATTTATATAGCACAGATGCATTGAAGTCTTTCTGTTACAGTTTCAGGCTTATGCTGCTTTAGGTTTACCGTTTCTGACGCAGGCACAGGTAGCAGCAGGCGGCTATTAGAGCGCCCAGGCTGAGCAGCGCCAGCAGCGCCAAGGTGAGAAATTCCAGTCCGCCCATTAGGCTGGCGGCGGAGGCGTGCGTGGGTCGCGCCGGCTGCCCGAACTCGGCCAATTCGATGATGCGCGGCATAGTCTTGCTGCTCTCGACATGCTGCTGCTGCTGCTGCAGCTGCAGTGCATCCAGTTGGAGTCCGGCCAGCGATCTAGACGAGTAGATAAATGACATAATTTACGGCCTGCGGGCGAGCTGCAACAGGATCACGACTTACTCCTGCAACTGCTCCATTTCCACAATGGCATTGCTGTGCGGGTCAACGGCGTAGATATAGGCGTTGGTGCTGTGCATAGAAAAGGCAAATAATTGATTAGATCGAAGGGATAGCTGCTTCGGAAGGGAGTAGTCTGGCTACTCAGAAAGTCATCTATCTAGCCTTGAGAGCATCTGCAGCAGTAGCAGCAGCTGTCTCTTGGCTCTACTCACGCCACTTCACTGCCTCCGGTGTTCGGCTCGAGCAGGCGCACACGCACATCCTTGCCAATGGCGGAGCTGAGCGCCTCCATTAGACTGTCAATGCGCCGCTCGACGTCCACTGGCATGCCGGCCACCACAAGGCGCACCTGCTTGGCCTCGTCGATGATGTAGACAAAGACGTTGACGATGCCGCTGTGCCCGTCGTCGGCGCCCATGCGATCGGTGGCCTTCACGTCGAAGCCGTAGATGCGCTCGTCCTGCGGCAGATCGGCCAGCAGACGTATGTTGCCGTTGAGCTCATCGATGCCGAAGAGTCGCGTCGGCTCATTGAGCAGGCGATAACGAATCTCGGCGTTGAGGCCTTCGTCGAGATCCGTGGCCGCAACGCGGGTCACGTGGTAGCCGAAGCTGGCGCTGCGCGGCAGCACAGCCACGATCGGCTGTCCATTGCTACGGAACTTGGGCGAGTTGTCGTTCTCGTCGGCAATGCGCACCACAATGCGGCACTCGTTGGGCGCCAGGCCCTCGACACGCTCGTCAACTACCGGATAGGCCACCTTGGCATAGTTGCGCGCGCCGCGGCTGACGCGATCCGCGCGTACCCGCAGCTGGTAGCGCGAGATGTGCTCCCGGTCGAAGGGCTTGAGCGCGTACAGCAGCATATTCTTGGCATCGTATTCGAATGGCGGATGTGCATCGGACTCGTCCAGACCCTCCTCCAGCCACAGCGACCAGCGATAGTGCTCGGCATTGAGACCAGCTGTCAGATTGAGACGCATCACCTCCATGGGCGCCTCGTTGTTCTCCGTTAGCTGCACGTCGTAGTAGGGATGCTGGAAGACGGTCACATTGACTGGAATCTCTGGCTTGGGCGGCGGCGTCGGCTCCGTAACCGCCTGTCCCTGCAGGTTGATGAGCACGACAGCCGTAGCCGACAGTGCCGGACTGCCCAGATCCGAGGCAATCACAGTTACGTTCAGGTGCTCGTAATCGTTGTAGCCGCGTATATGGGACACGGTGGTAATGGTGCCGTCGCGGGAATCGATCTGAAAGACGGGCGCATGCAGCTCCTGATGCAGTATGGAGTAGAGCACGAGGCCGTTGCCATTGCCCACGTAGTCCTTGTCTATGGCATTCACCTGCTTGACAAACATGCCCGGCAGCGTGCTGCGATCCAGGTACGCCTTGTAGACGGGCAGCATCAGGGTGCGATCTGTCACGTCTGCGACGTACTTGATGGCCTTGGTCTGGTCGTCGTAGCCAATGAACTCGGGCCGATTGTCATTAATGTCGAGCACGTTCACCTCCACGTCGACGCTGCTGGACAGGCGATGCACGGGCTCGGCGTTGTCGCTGGCGATCACCTGGAAATTGTACTTGGCGCGCTGCTCCCTGTCCAGCTGCCCGCTGATCTTCAGCACGCCCGAGGCAGGCTTCACTGTAAACGGCAGCAGCTGGTCGCTCAGTGAGTACGTTATGTTCGCATTCGCGCCGTAGTCCATGTCGATGGCCAGCACCTGGCCGAGCACACTGTCCTTGTAGTCGCCCTCGGGCGTATCGAAGCTGTACCAGGACTTCTTGAACGCGGGCACGTGATTGTTCACATCAATCACGGTGAAGCGCATGCAGGTGGTGTCCCTCAAGCCATCTATGTCGGTCACACTCAGATTCAGCCAGATCTCAACGTTGGCCGCCAGCGGATAGTTCACCGTTAGCTCGCCGCTCAGCTTGTCGATGGCAAAGTGACGCACGGCCTGCTTCTTCGGCATGGGCATGCCCGGCGAGCGCTCCGCCTGCTCGCCGCTGAGCTCGTAGTGCAGCTGGGCATTGCGCCCAAAGTCCTCATCGCTGGCGCTGAGCTGCAGCAGCTTCGCCCCGATGGGCGTGTCCTCATAAATGGCGAACAACGGGCACTTGACGGTAATGGCCCGAGCCATGCGACGCCGCGACTTGGCGCGACTCATGACTCCAACGGAGCTGCCCTTCTCCCGCTCCGAGTGCAGCCGAGGTGAGCCGGGTATATGATACGTGGGCGGCGGCAGCATCATGCCATTGGCGCCGGCTGGTGGCAGCACCATGCCATGCGAGCTCTCCACAAAGTAGATCTCCATGTCCGTGTTGTACTCGCGTATCTCCAAGCGCGAGTCCTTGAACACGGAAATGCGCTCGAACATGGGTCCATTGTCGTTGACATCCGCCACGAGAATCGTCAAGTGCGCATAGCCCGAGAGGCCGCCGGTGTCGGCAGCGATGATCTTCAGATTGTACAGCTGCTGCTTCTCCCTGTCCAGGCCGCGTTTGCCCGTATAACTGATGCGAAAGTAGGGCCCGGAGCTCAGCTTGAAGTTCGTCTGCATGAAGGAGTTGTGCAGCTCTTGGTACTTGAACTCCTCGTTCCACTGGTCGGTCAGATTGAATATGTTGAAGGCGCCCGTGCTCGCCGACAGCTTGTGCTGGCTGGCATTGCCGCCGGCGCTGCCGTTGACATACTCGATGGAAAACTGATCGCTGTAGTCGCCCTGCAGCAGCACGCGAAACTGGGCATTGACTCCCTCGTCGGCATCGTGGATCTGAATGGCCTGGTTCATGGAGAGCTCGGTGCCAACGGCGCAGTTCTCATTGATCAAGCCGACGTAGGTGAGCGCATTGAACTTGGGCACGTTGTCGTTGACATCGTCCACCTTGATGTTAACCTGGTAGATGCCCGCGCCACTCACCATGCCCGTGCTGTACTCCACAATCACCGTCAGCTCATAGCTGGCCTGCTGCTCG